AATAAGCGACCATCCTGCTAACGCTCTGGTGTTCGAAGTGAGTGGTTCAGTACTTAACGGGAACTAGATAACAACCTTGGGGGTGGTTACTCACCTTACCTCCGTATCCGCTCACACAGCTTCAAAAATACTGTGTCACTTTTGGGGATGGAAGAGGTCTGCGTGAATGATAGTAGCGGAAGGTCATTTCGGGTTTTAAATGAGTTTGCAACTGACCTACTAGTTCTAGAGTAACACGCAAACTTAAATGCTTTCTGGACAAGTTCTATCATCGCTGACATCCCGCAGTTATTGGCACGACTAGCATTGTGACACTGTGGGACAATATAAGCCTTAGTAAGGGCAGTAACGTTTGCTTGGTTAAGCCGTATCTCCCTACGTTTGCTTTCAACTCAGCGAAAGTATTACGACGGTCACAACTTGAGGTCATCCTGAGAGACAAGAAGTATTTGGAACGTAGAATGATCTGAAAATCCCTCCTGATCATCCTATTAGATGTACCTTTGACCCTAGCCCGTGAAATGTTATCTGCTTGCTTGACTGTCTTCTTTGACCTCGTACTCAGTATTCACCTTTGCATGATTGAGACTTATCATGAATGTTTCGCCTTCCTATTATGTGACCCTGGACTGTTGACAAGATGATGCTGTTTTACTGCGCCCGACATTTTCATTCGGTTCAACCTACTGTTGTATTGTGACTTGACCGTTTTGTCCTTTGACTGTCTGCTGGAAACGTTTATTTGTTGATTTGATTCTGGTAGACAGAATTTTGATCCCTTTTGTCGGGAATATCCCTATTGACTGTCAGGTACCTAACGATCGTATTTGTTTAACCAGTTTTTACCATATAGTTCATATTTGCACCTGAGAACATTTACCCAACGGCACTGTTGAGATATTTTTGTAATTTTCATATGACATATTGATAGTACCACAGATTTTGTGACGAACCTATCACTGATTTACTCCAAAGCGTGTTTTGATATTTCGATCCAATTTTTGACTGTGCGTCCCTCGTGGAAGTTCGGAAGCCGTACAGCAGAATGCATGAACCAGTCAGATTCGCGTTATTTGGCATCGTCTAGTTATTTCAGGCGTTCAGGCTAAGATTATCGGACCTTGGCTGTTACAGTATTGACTTTAGTGTGAATGCTATGGGCCACGGTATTTCCAAAATCGTATAAAACCGATAGCAGCCCCTTGGGGAAGGAAGAAAGACGCACCCGAATTAATGTCGTAGAGCTGCAGTCAAAGTATGTGTAGTTGGCGACACCACCGTCCACAAGTTCAAATATGAACACTAGTTCCGCCAAGTCGGTCTTCCTTCCATCGCTCCACCACAGCTTTGATGTGCTGATTCGTATTCTTTCAACAATTGTAGACTTCTAAGCTATGTGATCAGAAATACAAAGTAAGGCTGCGGCGACATTCTTATATAGAATTTCAGTGAGCACTGTAGTGTTTGGGTTGTCGAGATTGTAAGAGTGAACATTAGGCTCCAAACTTCAGAGCTGTCTTTTGGTGTTGTGCTGGAAGTTCATAACCACTATTCCAAGCCACCGTATTCATCATGACCACAACGGACTACTGCGACGCTATCGCTGGTTCTCTCGTGTGACGTCAACGTTTAGGATCTTGGTCACCGTGTGAAACATCGAAATTTAATGAATGCTTCCAATGGTCTTAGTAACTCGCGTCACCAAAACACAGAAATGCAGTAGGTGTTCACATCAGTCATCTTCATGCAAGCCAAAACAAAACTATCTCCCGAAGAACAGCAACCCATAAAATGCTACATTTCTCCTTTCTTTGCATTCGTCGTAACTGTGGTACACTTCTGGCTTTTGTAGGCACCATATTACCAGCGTGCAGCTCAAAAATGTCGAATAGCTATGCCGTACCGCCCAAAGGAATGGGGTGAGACAATAGTCCTTCTAGTTTATGTTTTAATTGATGCTGGTCCTCTTTTGCAACCCCCATTACTACCTACACGACCCGGTTTTTCATCATTTAAAGTGAACCACTTATCTTTCTCTTTCAACTCTCTTTCCTTTCCATCACTTAGTTGTTCACTTCTACCATTAGCATCACAGTCATTCCTTTTTCACTTCCTTCCTTCAACTCCTTTTCATCTTATTTAGCATGTGGCTCCGTGAAAATAATCTTGCTTTGAACTGCCTGAACAACAATCTTACGAGAAAATGATCACAAAAACAGCAGAAGAAATGCATACAAAAAGGATCTAAAACTCCATAAACCACAGTAGTCACTTTTGCGAAACTGTGGCAAAAGCACTGTGAATTTTCAATATGTTAGGTATTGTCGTGAAGCCTCTGTCTGCGTGTCTCAGTCCTCTTATTCCAGAAACCCATTCAACCCTTGCCAAGTGACCTAATGGTCCCTGCACCAATAGGGTTTTATGCCACCTCTCGGGAACCTCCGTGAAGTTTTATGAGAAACCAGTCCAGTCCATTGGAGAATCTTTAGACTTAAACCTTCCTCAGGTCATCGTTTAAGGTGACTTCAACGGTCTTTACCTCTTCACTACTACAATTCCATCCGCTTTCGCGGGGGAATTTCAGGGATTGTTACTGGAAAACCTTTCACAGAAAAAGTCTATCAGTGTACCCAATGGGGGTCGGCTGACAAGACCTCCCTACCAGACTATGTTCTTACCACTCAGTTGATTGTGTATCTAAATAAACTTTCAAGGGCCCTCTTAGATCTATGGTGTGTGCACTAGTTTCCTTCAGCATTTCTATACCCTACCCAACCCCTTTTGACCGATCACTAGTCTGCAGCTATGGAAGTGGGTGGGAAGGGGGGAAAGGAAATGTGACGTTCCGCTCAGTATACAAGGCCGCAGTAGCTCAGAGATCCGGCGAACTAGCTGTGAGGTAGCAGAATTGCCATCTCGAGAATAACAAACAATTTCTGAAATATGCAGGCGACAATCTCATTCTGTGTAGACACTCCTGACGTGGAAGATTTTTGCGAAATTCGAGCCGTTTGTAATCAAGAAAATGCCGAGGAGCTTATATCTCAATGGGTCCTCATGAACTGATGGCATTCAGCTGGGGGTACTCCAAGAGTTTTTGGATGTTTTAACTGTCCTAGTTGCCATCATCTTTGGAGGTTCTTTTCTAGAAGATAGGTTTTACTAGGATTCGAAACGGATGGCTGCTTCCCTTATTGCAGTTAAAAATAGGCTAGTTGCCTTCCCTCGGTGTCGTAGGTTGCAGAAGAAGTAATAAGTGGCTCATGATACGATTAGTTAATTAGAATTTGATCCCAACTGATTGTCAACATGGATTTTTATCAAGAAGGTTGCGTGATAAATATGGAATACCTGGAGTCTTTCTTTTTAGAAGAAGAAGTCCACTCACGCAGAGTTGTTTGACTTTTATGAAACATATGCCAAGATCAATCAGGATATCCTGCGCACGAAACTTGAATTTGTGAGGGTACGTGGGAAGCTGGTTGTTCCTAGATGTTAACTTGATGCCAAGTAGTGGCCGATCAGAGTAGGCTCCATCAAAACTGAGTGACTTCCCATGCTGAGTGGAGTGATCCACTGTTCCATTCTTGGTCGGACACTGTTTCTTGGTTTTATAAATGACTAGTAGGTGAACTTGAATTATCACTCACTATAATGCGCATGGATTCTTCAGATTTGGGGGAAGTTGCTTAGGCCACCAAAAAACTAGGCACCACGGAAGGGCCCTTCCAATGTCTAATAACGCACGAGTGAAAACCAACTTCCTCTGGACTTCGAAAAGTGCAGGATAATCACTACAGATTACCATGGGCATAGTCCTAGTTCTCGCCCAGTTCGGGGAAGTATATGTCTCTATCAAACATTGGAGGAGATCCTAGGTTAACCGAAGTGACACAACCGTGTCTTCTGCCAACATGGCATCTGTAGTCCTAGTGTTTGTCCCCAAAACTCTATGGCGTCTAACCCAAAACCTTTTCACTACAATGTACGGACTATATATTTGCGCTCATCCTGAGAAATCATGGTATTTTTATGACTACACTTAATGAAGGATGCAGATATCCTAGGGCGATTTCACAGGATTACGAATAAAGAGACTGGTTTGCTGCACGAACCTTATCTGGACAGCTTAGTTGCTGTCAAGTTACATCCGGTACATTAAAGGATAACCAAAGGGGACGTGAACATGATATTTTAGGAATAGTCCTGGTGAGAACTTGACAGATGCGGAGGCCAATGGCTAATTACTTGAGCTTGTTTTATACCCACGAATACGAGACCAAGAAAGAATACAAAAGCGTAGTCAGATGGAATAGTATATTTGCGAGGTCGTGCCAAGATACCGATGCGTCCCAACCAACTGGCTAAAGAATGGATTACTAGCACTGCAACGTAACGTGATAGCGCACCAGATGGTGATGATGCTTGACCGGGTGCCTTCAGCTTAACGAGTCCGGTAAAACCACCAAGGTCAGCATTGGTTTCGTCGAACCCTAGGCTATTGGTTCTGGAGAAGTGTGTGACACTACAGTGTATTATACTACCCGTGGCCTTCTTCATCCCAATCGACAGATTTTAGGCGTTGATGAGAAAAGCTCCCTCAGAGTTCACCCAATAACGTTTCAGCATGAGAGAGCGTGTTCAACGACCCACGTTAACTCATTTAGTGCTTGAGCCCATAAACTCCCTTCCTGAAGTTGTACAACCCCCCTCTACCGATGTATTCCGAAGAAGATTTGCTAGTAAATTAGTGCTCTGTGGTACAGATAGGCTGTACTCAAGAGGTTTTCGTCGTCCAACAAACCACAGGTAGCAGCACTAACCAAATTAAGGTAAATAATTAATAAATTCACTATTTTCATAGTCTGTGTCTTTTTTTAACCAAGAAAAGGGCTAAATTTTCGAAACGAAGGGGATTTTTTGCGGGGAATCATGTGGAACTTAGCGTGCAACTGTTTGTTACTTTTACAACAGTAAGATCGAAGTTAGTTTTTTGCAAACAGAACTCTAACCTTGACTGCATCAATGCAAACGCGGTCATCTTGTTACCGATGTTGGATAACGCATCCGAGGGTGAAGTTATAAAGACTTTGCCTCCTAAGCAGACATTTTTCTCTTTATCTTGGGACTACTTCAAGTTTCTACTGACATGTGCATCTATATATGGTGTAGGGTACTATCGACTCAGTGCTAGTTGGGTGTTATTAGGGTCGTTGGGCTACTATATTGTACAGCATATTAAAAGCAAAACTTGAAGTTGACAAGTTCATTAAAAGCTATAGGAGAAGATGAAAAGACGTTCATCATCCAAAATTTTTCTGTTAGGGACTTGCCGTCTTGGGTATGTCTTTAATAATGTGAATGCATGATTTCCCAAGGTGTACTTTCCCGATGTTGAGAGGGCTGAGTGGTTAAACAAAGTAAGGAACTTTAAAAGATTTCATTTCTAAAGGTTATCAAACGAATGTGGCCATGCATCAGTGAGTATATAAGGGATGTTGTCGTTGCCACTGTTGAGCCTGTTGTTTCGCAGAATTTGCCCACTGCACTGACACCTTTCAGCTTTGCAACTATTGATCTAGGAGACACAGTAAGTCTTCTTCAATCCTTATTTGCGTTTCAGCCTCCTCGAATAGGTGGGATAAAAGTTTATATGAATGAAAGCATCCGAAAAGATGAAATAGTTCTCGACTTGGACCTTATGTAAGTTTCTTTGTTCCTAATTTTCGCACAGGCTATACAGTGATGCAAGGATAAAGGTTAACCTGGGGAAAATGAAGGCAGGGGTCAAAGAATTTGAGGTAATTATATATATATATATATATATATATATATATATGTATATATAATGAATGCTTTTTCATCATTCTTAGTCATTTGTAATTATTAATTGTTGAGTGTGTACAGCAGTCTTTTGGCATTTTAAGTGTGTTTAGCGGATTTTAACTGGGGTTTACTCATTTTGTCAATCATTTAAGTTACTACTGAGTGAACTTCTTATGTTTCATTTAGTCCTCTGTGTTCCATGTGTTCTCTCATTTCACAGATGTTTTTTTAACAGCAGCAAAATGTTTATCATTTTTTGATGCGAATAAATAAGGTTCACTGTCACTCCCAAGAAAACAAACGGTACATGGACCATCTAAGGAAGATGGTTTCTTATACATGTACCAGAGTTTGTCAATATGATGGAGTTTGAATTCTTAGCCGGTCAATGTTACCTGAAAGTCAACACTAGCCTTTAAGTTGCTCTGCACAAGGGAATCAAAAATCCAAATGCTCTCAACAACTCTGTTCACATTTGCACAGTACGCAGTAAGCCATACCTAATGTTTGTGTCAATGATACTACCTGACTGAGCGGACCTAAGACTATGGACCCGCGGTTGAACCGGCGACTCATCGATTGAGTCGGCTGCCCAAACCAACGAGCCAGAACTTCTGCACGGTGTTTTCAGTAATTGGAGCAGAAATAGCCTCGCTTTTTCACTCTTCGATTCCATGCCATATAAAATGTATTAGTATCTGGTGTAGCTGCTTCCTTGAACTTTGTACTGTTGTTGTCTCATAAAGTGACCTCGTGTAAGTTAAATCGGCTTGAGGAAATAACTCACTACTGTCGCGAAATTCACTTTATTAGGCTGCGTTTTGCTATTACTGTAGCTATGATCACTGTGATTCTGCTTGTTAACTTTTCACTGAATAATATTCAGAGAGAATACTTTTTTAAGCAGTGATTCTTGCGGTTACCAAGTTAGGTCTACGAAAGTTGGTACCTACAGGCTTTTTCTATTCACGTCTTTTTTCCTCTGTTTCCTTTGGAAACAGAATATCAAATTTCTTTTTATCCTCATAATAATCATTACGGTCAAGCTATACCAATACGTAGGTATTTGGAGCTCGAATAAGAAATTCAGGGAATGATTGTATTTGTTGTATTAGCGATAATATCAACATATATGAATGTGAAAATCCATGTTAGGATTAAGTGTATGAATGGGTGATAAGTTGGCATGCATAAGAGTTTGAAACCCAATCGAATAACTCACTTTTACCTAAAATTTGCTCCCAGTCTTTGAGGCAGTGACTTATTAGTTTCACCACTAAAGATTTTTAAAGTAAACCAATGATGTGTTTGTGACTTCCTCCTGTCACCGTGTCTCAGTCACAGATTACAACACAGGCTAATAAACACTTTACCTGCCTTTCATTGAGCAACAAGAAGTGCACCTCTGTCACAAACTGTTTGATTTAGGAGGTAGTTAAGTAGGCTTTTTGTAACCGTACCATAATTTGGTTAATTATCAAATCGCTATAGTCTGTATAACACTTCACCAAATGAAGTGGTCACTACACCTAACCGCTTTACTGACTGTGTTGATGCAATAAGATCTTGAGTACGATCCTACATTTGAAAACGGTAAACTGTTTACAATCCTCATATTTCCAGTGTGAAGGGTTATGAGAATATCTTATCACTTTGGTATCAGAAGTATATCATTTGAAACCAGATCTTCAGGCATGTAATCAATATCTTAAAAGTTAGAGGTTGGCCACAAACTTCAATAGTATACCTGTAACGCGTAAGTACTTGATGGTGAGTTCAGTATAAAAGCACTTACAGAGTAATGTGTCATAGGTAAATTTTTAAGTGTGAGTTTACATGCAATGATAAGCTTTTATTTTGCTCGTAATATTCCCAAAATAGAAGCTTGCAGTTGTACATAACTTATCACTAAAAATTTACTGATAACACATGAATCCATTCCACTATGTGCAAACTTTTCATTTACTGAGAGTTTTTGTGACTCCTTTCACAGTTGAACTTCACCAGGAAGTTCTCTACAGAATAAGAGGAATATCATAATCTCGTTAGAGGTGGTCAGTGTTAAGCACCTTCAACCATACCTTTCTTCTAAATGCTAGAAGAGATGATCAAATGAATGAAACCCCTACCTAATCCTAAAAATTACCTCGTTTCTACTAAGTTAGCTATATTTGATAAATATTTGTAATTGCAGGTGTACTAAAAAAAGGTTATTTTAGTGCTTAAATAAATTAAAAGTAATTAGACCGTGTCAACCTATTGAAAAATTAGAGCGTACATTAGTTCTGGTAACATGTAATTGCTACATAATTTGCTAAGAATTTTGTTGCACTTTTTTCTCACTTCTATTTTAATCTTTAATTCATTTTAAATGAAAGTTACGTGGTACGCTACGTGTCGTTATGAAGCCTCTGGTTCCGAAAGTGCCTTTTGCCGGTGCAGTTACAGTTTGTTTTTTGGATAGTCCGGTAAGCATTTCACTCAGCCCTTTGCTTTAGTATAGTCTCAAATATCTCTATTATGCATATTCAAATACAGTGAAATTTGGTTCCAAACTAGTGGGTTGCGTATTTAAATGTTACCAGATACCTGTCTTCCTAGCCAGATGGTATTATTGGCCCTAAGACAATAAGTGTGCTTCACTGTCTCTTGCACGAATGTGCTCAAGGTTGCTGCGTGGATTCCATGGGTATCACAATATTTACACGTGCTGTGTCAATTTGATTTTCGATCTAGAAGATGAAGAAACTGCTTGATAAAATATGAAGATTTGAAATCTTCAGTATACATGTCTGTCGCAAATTTGCCACATTTGTAGGTAGCATAGTTAATATTTCTCGAGAAAATTTTGATTAGCAACAGCGATTTCAGTTGGAGAATCAACTGATGCTAGTCGGTGGTGAATAGCACTTTGAAATTAAAAAATCGTCACGACCATCTTAGGCTCGACCCCTAGCTGGGTCGTGGGTGCTCGCTGCTGACGACTCCTATACCTGGACGAAACAGCTGTTCAGCGCTTTCACTTTTTCAACGATTCTTCAACTTATGTGAGTTCATGATAAATGTCACCGCTTGATTCTTTCTTTCCAGTATATCAATTTCTCGCTAACAGATATGGGAAATATCCTTGGACTTCCTGGACTGCAGTAAGTTTACCTTTAAATTTATGTAAACTTTTCACGCATTACTAAAATTTTGGAACACAGTAGATTAATGTAAGATCCATCCCACAGATGTTTCTAACATGAAACTTAATTAACCAAATGATAGAAACGAATAATCGAAAGCAGTGTCATTCGAATTATACTTAATCAATTTAGTGTAATGAAAGTGAATTTTGATGGCAACAGAAGTCGATATTTTATGATTAGGTAGTAAAATTTTTGATGCATATGTTCACTCTTCATTGGTTACATTTTGTATGAGCGTTAATCAGTTGGGAGAAAATGTCTCTTCTCCGTTGTCAATACATTTGGTTTATAAATATTGTATTATGCCTCAAATTTATAAGTGTCTCCATAACATAGTAAGAAAGGTCAGTAGTTTTTTTTGCAACTGATGAATACCATGTGGGCACTACTTCCTGATTTGCTAGTTAGCTCATGAAACTTCCTATGTTCACTGTTTTTATTTAATCATTTTACTGATATTTGTTATGAATCCTTTTAGACAAACATTGAACACAGTTATTCGTAACGTTGTTAATCAATTAGTTGTTCTTCCAAACCGTCTACCCGTCCAGTTGCTACCCGATGTGGATATACAACGCCTAAGATACCCATTACCTCAGGTGAGCATGTGTGTTTGATAGCATACTGGTACAACGAGCGTGTTGACTAAATAACCAGGTTGGAGAGGGTGGCTGATACAATGAAATACATAAGCACGCGGATGCCAAAGTGGTGCAACTCAAGATTCATGTATCAGTTTCCATATTAGATTGACGACTTAGATGGTACTTGGGTAATTGAAACCTCTGCAATTGGAATGACTTTCGAACCCCTGACTAACTGATGAAGAATTGAATGGCTGTTTCAGTGGTCCACCGTTTCCCAATAGACAAGCAGACAAACGGATGGGAACCTTGCAAACAAGTGCATTGGCCCAAATTGCCACACTTCACAGAGGTATACAAAGAACAAGTGGAAAGAAAGTGAATAGTATCAAAGTAGACAAAGTTGTGTGAGACAATAAGCAGTTGAATATAACGGTTGGTGTAGATATCCAAGCTTTAGGGGATGTAAAGGGGTGAATACATTTGCACTATTGTGACCTATTTCCAGCCATTTCTCCAGAGTCCTCTACCACTGATTACTGTCGCCTCGGAGACCGCAGTAAACCTGGTAGTCTACATCTGTCAACACGACTCCGGCCAACAGTCAAAGACTTCATCGACTGGTGCTAGGCTTTGGTCTGACCACGCTAAACCCTCTTCCAACTTAATCCGTCTTCCCCTAGCGTGCCACGTCTAGGTAGACGATGACGCGGCATACGCAGTACGTATCCAAGCCATCTCAGTCGACTAACTTGACCGTCTTGCCTACTACCCTTATCCTAACCTCAACATTGCTCACAAGGTGATTCCACTACACGCAAACAATGCTACGAAGATACCTGCGATCAAAAACCTGCAGCCGCTCCATGTCGTCTACTTTTAACGTGCATGTCAGCCGTACAACAGGACAGAATGGATTACAGTGCAGTATACTTGTTCTTTGATAGATAGTCGGATATCCTGCCAGTTGGCGCTACAGGTGACGAAAGTTGGCAAATGACAAATGGGGCTTCTTTATTTGAGCTGGAATTTTGTCAGCAACCGGCCCGTTACGGTTGAAGCAACTCCTTAAGTTGACATATCCAAATGCTTATTGAGAATAGAACGTGATTATCTACAATATACCTTATTCTGCCGTATAGATATGAAAAATGGCGATCGAAGGAAGCAAATATTCAGAGGCTGCATTCGATCAATCGTACTCTTTAAAGCATCACGGTTTTGTGATAGAACCATTGGTATCCGACGTAAATTGTTAAGAAAATTTGGTGTAGACGTTTGTGGGTTACTCTCATATGGTTGATACACATTCTCGTCTTTGAGTTCTCAAGTCTTCTTGGTTTAATCTTCCTTGTCCATGACTACAGTGGTGCACCCTTTATATATAGGGAGTGTGACGTTGATTTTCAATCCTCTAATTGATTTTTGTTCCTAAATATTTGACTGAGTGTAATCTTCCTTGTGTCTGCCCAATGGGATAACTGTTTGTTGTATTTTTTATTGGGTTTCCTCATTTAATTTTTTATGTTTTAAGCGATGATTCCAATGAAGCGAAGTGTTCTGGCTTTGAGGTTTTCTTTGTAATGTAATTCAGTCCTTTCCACTTTTGTCGACTATACCAAGCATTTCAAAAATCAGTAGCAAGAAGTGTGATCAGCACTACATTTGATAAAGTGGCATACGGACAACTATAAATATCACTTGGGTATTGAAAATTCAAAGATCTTAGATAAAGGAAGTACAGAGAATGCCAGAGGATTCCTAAAGGCTTGACATTCACATCAAGCAGCAATAAATAGATGTATGGAAATATACACAGTCTGTCAGCCAATAAAAAGAGCGCTAAGAAACTAAAAGGTTGGAGGTCAGGCAGAGAAACGGTCAGTAGGAAAATCTGTGCAGTCAGTGACAGAGTAACCAAAGGAAATTGCCAATCACACTACTTGACAAGCTGTTGAATCACTCAGAAAGGAATCCTGATAGCTCATTTCATATAGAAGCTGGAGGTGATGATGTTGTCCAGTGAGGTAATAAAAGTTTCACGACTAACCTGCCAAGCCCAGAGAATCCAACACAACCAATGACTGACGTTTTTAAATAAAGAAGTGATTAGGGCTGTGTAATACTCATGAAGTGCACGTTATTTTTTCAAATTAAATTAGTTGGACAATATTATTTATCGTTAGACGATAGAAACTACCATCTGGTATCTGGTTGCGCTAGCCTGACAGACGTATGTATATACAAAGAATGGTAACCGACTCCCAAAGAGTGGTTAAGAAAGCCAGTAGATATCAGCAGCTTTTGAATTAACAGATGCATGCGAACTCATCGCTGCAGGTTCTGAGTACAATCAGGAGGGAACGCAACGCTTTTGCCATACATACACCATCTGCGGTGTCGCTGTAATATCCGAATGTCTATTAGGGTTGAGTGTACTGTGCTTCAGTCCACTTGGTTCTGCTGCATGGCTGTGAAATATAGCCATTAAGGGAAGAAGACATGAAAAGGCTTCAGGTATTTGACCACCGCTGCCTTCACAGGATAGATCGTTTTTCATGGTGTCATCACGTGAGTAACGTTGAAGTCAGGCATACTGTTTCAGGGAGGAGAGTTAAGACAGTTGATGCGGTTGTGAACCTTCATCAACTGACATGGCTAGGACATGTGTTATGTATGCGTAGCCATCGTCTATCTCGTTACACAATCTTAGCTGAAGTAGGTTCAGGCTGAAAAAAGGCTCGAGGCGACCAGTCTAAAACGTGGCATCAATGCATGAAATCCTTAACTGTTCGTTCGAGCCATGTGGGGTGATGCAGACTAGTTGGTAGGGGTCCATGAGATAAGAGAAACCAGTGGTTGAAGACTAGGTGATATGGTACAGAATCCTAATCTTGACCGCCATACTTTCTTATACCTCCCACCTCACTTTTAGTACTTTCTACTTCTACTTCTTTTCGACCGATATTTCTTTTTTTCTTCATCTTCCATTTTATCGCCATGTTACTTGATGTATTGATATGAGGTGTGGCAACTTGAACTGTTACGCAGTAATCCCCGGCCCTATGTTAATCTTGATGATGATGTATCTACAGCCTCATGGAAACTGGTGTCAACTCAAACATTCAAACCCGCTTCATTTTGTGATGAATTCATGGACATTTTCTGTAAGCTATTGAAGCTGTAATTGCCATCAATTAGAACTGGTTTAGTTACGTTGATCAATCACCCAATCGATAGAATACACCTAGCTTTTTAGAAGACTATGATGAATAGCTGTGAATAGTTTTTTTATTCAAGTTTCTGTCATGCAATATATCTGACAAACAAATTAACATACTGATAGATTTCATTTTTAAATGTTCTGAATTGTCTTCAGTGGTTACTACTTATTTCATACTTTAAGCATTGTTTTGCTTTCAACATTCTCATTTCATATTGTTGTATCTTGTTCAAGGGTGTGCTTCATGTGAACATGATATCTGGTCGTAATCTTAAAGCAGGGGATAAGAATGTAATTGGTCATAACACATCTGATCCATATTGTGTTATACGAGGTAAATGTGTTGTATCATATATGTATAATATTTTGTTTCATGTTTAACGATTTTTGTCATATTTTTTAGTGGTGTGTATTGGTATTTCCATTGATTGGTATGTATGACCGATATTTATTTCCAAAAGAATTGGCCTGCACGTGGATTCGTGTACTTAGCACTTGTGACAAAAGTAGTTGCATACAAACAAGTATCTTATTTGTGGACAAGTATGCCAAAGCTTTGCTAATATCATACTTCTTCTTACACATTACTAGCATTCGTATCCGTTGTAACCGTGTGTTTTCCTATTACCCGTATAACCAACTAGTCTCACGTTAAAATACAGCTTTACTTATTTTGATCCCACGGCCTTAAAGACAGTCGGTGCAATTCACTTTCATATATACTGATTTGAATACCGTTAAATGGGTTACATTTATTTTCTGTCTTGGTTTTCAATAAATGAGTGAGTAAGTGAGTGATTGAGTCAGTCCACTATTAGATGGATACTGTTGTTCTATATTCCCTTATACCCTTCGTGTATGTTAAAAGATGAGTTAGATCACTGTACATGATTAAATGTTATTTTGTCTTGGAATCCTGTTTGGAAACAGCTAAAACTGTGACTTGACTTTGAAAATCTCAATGTCTACTATACACGGCGATAGTGGAAGCAGATTAATCTTCTATGTAACCTTATTGCTTTTCAGGTACAAATGTTTACCAGGTATCCATCATAGTTCATTCTCTTGGCTAAGAGTTTTAAGAACCTGAACATATGTCGTATTGCTCGGCTATGCGTGTATAGTTGCAGTTTGAAAATTTCTGTTTTCGTTACCTAAATGTTGTAGGTGCAGGCCAGTTGCATTATTACTCGAAGTGTCCCGCCTATCCTTCCACTGATATCCACTGCGAGTGAATCCCAGACCCATCCTTCTCTTTTATAGTCTCACTAATAATTGGCCTTCCTGCAGCAATTTCTTTTTTAAGTTTACTTATTGCCGCTGCATTTTCCCTTTCTTTGACCTTTACCACTCAGGGCCGCTCGTGGCCGTTGTATGGACTTCTTGTCAATCTAAATTTCAGTTGGTTACACTCATCATTGTGTTCGGAGTCTGCAGAAAGCCTAAAAAAGCTACTCTGATCCACTGACCCTTTAAGAAAATTTTCTGAGTGTCAGTTGCGATCTTCTGCGCTGCTTTTATGGCAGAGTGAAGATGGCACCAGGCTTCTGCATGACTGACATTCTCCTGTTCTGATGTTTGTCTAGCCAGTTCCTCTCTAAAATCAGCGTTATTATTCTCATCGTCGAGCTGCACTCAGTTGTCTTGGTGTAATTTTCCCAGTTTCATTTAGACATGCTTGTGTTTCCCTGTCCAAATACGCGTTTCAAAAGATGCGGTAATCTCTCACTGACCCTCTCTATTGGTGGTTGATTGCAATATGCCTTCGATAGATGCAAGTTCAGATGATATCCTTCTTTGTATTTGAAGTTCGCGTTGACTAGAATTATGTGTTTCCCTGAACACAGTTCTATAAATCGATCACAGTTGTTCGTCCATTCAGCTGGGATTCTGAAAGTGTTAACTATATGCATTTTTGCCTGATTTAGCGTGCCAACTTAAGCATTGAAATCACATGCTACAACAACCACTTTCAGTAGGAGACTAGACAGTTTCCCATGGAACATCCTTCAGTTCATCTGAACTGCAGTCAGTAGGCCGAGATTGCCAAGAGACGCTGGCGGTTTTCACCATTCCTTTCAGTTGCCTTTCAATCTAACAGTACAAATCTGACTAATAACTGGGATCTAGTCATACCTTGGGATTTCTGACTCAGGACTCATTATTGTGTTTATACCTAAAGGCCACGAGAACTAGCCATCCATCGAATCAGAAAAATTTAATGGTGAATATCGCATAATTATCAATTTTTTTGAGTGAAATTGAGTAAATGACCGCACCTGGATGCTGTATACGTTTCCCACAAGCACAACCTACTTTCATAACCTGAACTGCCAGAGTTTTGGCTAGCAAAACTCATTGTCCGATTTCACGAAGAGTGTTGACATTGAAGGCTACAATATGTAGTTTGGGGCCTGGTTTCAGGAGATTAGGAGTGATGTTCCGTGAACTCAGATCGTTTTCAAGAGCTACTGAGTTGGAGGAAATTGAGGATGACTTAGGAATTTTGAAACCTCGCCTGGTTAACTAGCTCGCTTGTTACTAGCCGGTCCTAAGCCCGGGTAAAGAGGGAAGGTTGGGCATATAGGGCTAGCAACCCTACCCCGTAAAACAAATCTAACCGCTAAAGAAACTTCAAAGCACAAACGAAATATAAAAAATAATAACAAAATTATTCCTCGCTGGAATCGGAGAGGCGAAATGATGCCAGTTGGTGAAAGCCTTCGGGAAGCCAATTGGCCGATGTGTCTTCTCACCCTCGATGAAAGCGAAAGTAAACGTGGGGACATGGAATGTCCGCACAATGTTTGAACCCAGCAAGGCAGCCCAGATTGCAAACGAGATGAAGAGGTATCACATTGAAGTGCTTGGGATTTGCGAAAGTAGATGAAATGGGATTGGACTCTCCAAACTGTCAACTGGAGAATCAATAATCTACTCCGGTCACCTAGACGACAACCACGAGCACACCGAGTTATGGAATGGCTATCATGATGTCCCCAACAGCATCGAAGGCTCTCATGCAGTGGGAACCAATCTCCTCCAGCATCAGGATCATGACAGCAAGATTCAACTCAAAAGGAAGGAAGGTCACATTCATACAATGCTGCACTACGCACCTGCAAATAATGCAGAGCAAGAGAAAAAGGACAACTTCAATCAACACTGGACAAGACGTCAGTTGGCGATGTCAAAATTCTAATGGGTGGGGTGACATGAATGTCAAACTGGGAGTGGACAACACAGGAAGAGAACTAACCATGGGTTGAGAAGCGCTTGGTGAGTGATGAACGAGGATGGAGAATTGTTTGCAGAATTCTGTGCGTTCAACGATTTGGTGATTGTAGTGAGGCAGTGTGTTCAAGCACAGGGATATCCACAAAGCCAGCGACATGGATTTCACCAGACACCAGGACACACTAAAAATCAAATCGACTTTATCTCAATCTCAAGAAAATGGAGACGCAGTCTACTTGACACAATGTCAAGAAGAGGAGCAGATGTAGGTTTAGACCATCAGACTATCTAGTGCAAGGAACCTTCCAAATCAAGTTAAAAGCCTTCAAGGGAGCTGGTGATAGAACACAGTTCAAGTACAACACTCGGAAACTGAAGGATGAAACTTCAAAGGAAATCTTCACGTCGGTCTGCCATCAAGACAAAATGGGAGATATGGAGGAAGATCCCTGAAGAAACCTGTGTGGAAGAACACTGGAAGTCTTTGAAAGAGATGTGGAAAGAAACCTGCACAACCGTATTAGTAGGGAGAGGAGGATGGTAAAGCAGAAGATGAACCAGTGCAAGGATGCTCAACGACGAGAGGAACTGATTACAATGTATAAAACACTGGACAAAGAAGTGAAGAGTGCACGGAAAGACAAAAGACGCTACTACGAAACACTAGCAAGTGAAGCAGAACAGGCTGCAGGCTGGTAGGAGAGACCTGACAACATTGTATCAAATAACCAGGTTGCTTTCTGGGAAGAGATCAACGCAGACAAAACCAATAAAAGATGATGACGGAGATTTAATTACGAAAGAAGAGAAACAGAGGAAACAATAGGCCGACCACTTCAAGAAGCTCTTGAATCGACCACCACCTGCACTTCGTCCAGAAATACCACCTACAGCCGCTAAACTACAAGTGAACATAAATCCTCCAACAAAAATGGAATTCCTGAACGCCATAGAGCTACCGAAATGTGGGAAAGCAGCAGGACCAGATGGAATCCCGTCAGAAGCACTGAGAACAGACGCAGAGACAACAGCGTACATGCTCACATCACTATTGCAGAAGGTCTCGAAGGTAGGAAAGGTACCTGTCCGTTGATTGGAAGAAGGGTTACCTTGTCAAACTGTCGAAGAAGGGAGACCTCAGTGTTTGCAAGAACTGGCGAGGAATCACTCTCCTATCCACCCCAAGTAAAATATTGAGCCACATCATCCTGGAGAGGCTAAAGGATGCACTGGATTCAAAACTACGACCGGAACAGGCTGGCTGGCTGGCTGGCTGGCTGGATTCAGGAAGTACAAATCATGTGCGGACCAAATTGCAACGTAACGCTACGCATCATCATAGAAGAGAGTATAGAATGGCAATCAACTCTCTCTCTACCTCAACTTCATCAACTTTGAAAAGGTCTTCAATAGCATCGACCGAGAAGTAATTCGGAAACTGCTTCAACACTGCAGAATACCGCAAACCTTTATTCGCCTCATTCAACAACTATATGAAGACACCACATGCCAAGTAATTCACAATAGGAAACTCAGTGATGCCTTTGAAGTGAAGTGAAGACAGGAGTGAAACAAGGCTGTCTACTATCCTCCATGATATTCCTGATTGTGGCTGACTGTACTGGATCATGCAGCAAACAGTGGGGAGCTGTGAGAACAGGGGGATACGCTGGATTGCGGAAAAGAACCTAGAAGACTTGGATTTTGCCGATGACTTGTGTCTGATGTCACACAAACTTGAAGATGTACAGGCGAAAACTAAGAAGTTGACAGAAGAGGGAGGGCAGCGAAGACGGGACTTCAAGTGAATATAGAGAAGACAGAGGTGATGAAGATACTGCACCAACAACTCCAACAACAACAAGAAACTCTAGTCGCCATCAACGGGAGGGACTTAAAGGAAGTAACCTCCTTCACCTATCTAGGTAGCACTGTTTCAACTACTGGTGGCACAGGCACCGACGAGGACGTCAAAACCAGGATCAGAAAAACAGCAAGACAGGCATTGATTAGCCTGAAACCAGTGTGGAGATCTTCTGCACTGCACTCAGCATGTGGAACAAGATACGGATTTTCAACACCAACGTCAAGTCTGTTCTTCTGTATGGTTGAGAGACTTGGCGTGTTACGAAAGGGATTTCCAATAAACTACAGACATTCATCAACAACTGCTTACACTGACTCGATACTGAAGATCAGATGGCCAGAAAGAATAAGCAACAAGGAGCTCTGGGAACGAAGCAACCAAGGACCTATTACCCAACAAATATGCATTGGAAGGAAGTGGAGATGGATTGGGCATGCACTGAGAAGGCCGACTGAGGACATCACGCGTCAGGCCAGTTGCTCGAGTGGAATCCCCATGGGAAGCGACGAGTTGGGCGTCCGAGTTGAGGGTGACATGGAGGAGATCATGCGAGGAGGAAATGAGAGGTTGTGGGCTGTCGTGGAGCCAGGTTCAAAAGATTTCAGAGCAGAGTGGGATGGAGATGTGCTATGGAAGCCTTATGTTCCATTAGGAACCCAAGGGTCTAATAATAATAATAATAATAATAATAATAATAATAATAATAATAATAGGAATCTTGACCGAATGGCGTTGGAAAGGGTTTGAAGGTAAAGATGCAGACGGTTGATAGTCATCTAAGGGGTCTTGAGTTCTGACAAAGTTGTTGTGTTGGCTTTTATTTCAGGTCTCCCCACATTGTGCAAGGCTGGTTTTTCTTATGGTACCTGAAAAAAGAAGTTGGGTTAGTAATAATGATGGGTGAATGCAGAAACCATGGGGCTGGTCACACACATCATTTTTTTGAAATTTAATATCTTACTTTGCTTTTTTCGAATCCATCGATGACCAATGCCGTCCGTTCCAGTATATCACATGGTGGATTGGATTGTGGTACTTTTAGAGCAGACGTTTTCGAATCCCTTCTCCCATAAAGATGGGAGCATCAGCCTGGCACAGCCGGTCTCAACCCCATATAGCTGGCAGTTTGACTGCACCCTCGAAGTTCGTTCATGACCTGGCAATTTGCACTGTAGATGCAGCGACTTTTTATCTGACCATTATCCAACTGACCTTTCTGGTATGGTACGGCTTCGAGCTAACAAGCGCTCAGCCAGCATAAGTCGTAGGATAATGGTGATGTGCAAGCCCAACCAACGCGTCCAGACGGCAGCTATCTATCAGGTTGATATTACTATTTAATATATATATGCATATATAGCCATTTCTGCAGTCTACGTTATTTCGTAAGAATCACACAACAGCGTTGAGGAATCAAAAAAATGAAAACATCATGATTCTCCGACTGAACAAGAGCTGTGGTGTTTTCATAATGGGTGGAGAAAAATACGTGATAAAATGAATGTCCCAGAGGACTCATTAAGAGTGCTATATAAGTCAACTGAAAGTTGGCTTACTAGGTAGTTGAAAAAACTTTTGAAGAAGTTAGTAGGTAACATTACCCGCATTGAGCTTTAAACCCCACGGATCTTGGCCATCATGTTTGTATGAACTGCTGAATGCTCTCAAAACTAATACTCCGAGGAGGCTAATGCATGTCAATTGTGTCAAATCACCATTTTACAGACTTGCCCGAGGGTTGGCAAAACATTTAGAACCCATGCTTACTAAGCCGTTTGTTCGCAGTCAGAGATTCATGATTTCTTCTCATATATCATTCTTATTCACAAGGATACCATCGGAAAAAAACTGTAGATATCAAATCTCAATATCCAGACATACTCCCATTTCAAAAGTATGCATTTCAACATCTTGTACCCATGTATGCGAAAAATGTTTAGTTTCAATTCGATGATGTCTTACGCTTTCAAACCAATAAAGTCACCATACGTGGTAGCCCTTTAGACCTGATCCTTGGTGGTATTTCCATGGTGAGTTAGAACAGACAAAACTGAAATATACAATCAACTAGATAGCATTCTACGAAGGGTGACTTGATGATGCATATGTTGAATGCATTAGTTGTGGACATTCGTCTCATTTACTGAATTTTTTTCATAAAGCACATCTAGCTATAGTAATTACCAAAAAAAAGCAAACATAAAACCGAACTCCACTTACTAAACAGCGCCATATAGATAGGAGAATTCATAGATAAATTCATCGGAGAGACATGTTGAATGGGTGTTAGTTGAACTTCAAAAGCTTTTGTGCGACTGGTTACTAAAAATGTCTGGTAAGAACACTTTTCGATCGTAGGCGTAAACTGTACTCCAAAGAGGAAACCGGGGAGGCACCGGTTTTGTCAAACACTACTTGCACGGAAATGGTTAACCATAAAAGTTCATTGATAAGCATGATAAAACGGAAACAAAAGGAATTAAATGCAGTTTAGTTGAGAAGAAGCCTATATTTCTCCACCCTGCCTTTGAAGGGGATGAAATCACCACAAGGATGATCCGCAGACTGAGTGCTACACTGATAGAGACGTATTCAGTTAAGCCAAGGCATATACATTAAAGGAATAGAGAAAAGGCTTCTTGTTCATATTTCCGGACTTCTCCCGAAAAATTTGAGTCTCGAATATCTATGGGGCTTAAAAAGTGCAATCACTTGCCATTCACTACTACTACTACCAGACATATAATGTCGACGTATTGAAATCAATAAAAAATGTAATCTCAAGCTTTTGCTCTTAGCTGAAACAGCTGCAATTAAAACACCCAGACCTCATCTGTTTATTCGAAGAGATAATGTTATCAATGTTGCTGTCTTAAGTTTGTGACGTCATAACCTTTATTGATTTTCTCTGTCAATCTATTTTGAAACCTATTCACGCTTTCTCAGTTGTGCTCCTCTTATTACTTAATATAGTAAAAACTTGATAACCCTTAATTACGCCTTCTTATTAATCATGATGGGATAACACTTTGTACAACTCTCCTTCATTATTTCTTTTATCATTATATAAATAGTTAACCTTTATCAATTTCATCAAATTCCACCAATTTTGTTCGGTTCACAACTTTTGTTATCTTCCTTCTCAGTCAAAAGACTCTTGTCAATTTATGAAAGTACGTTGTATACCTTGATTTTTAAAAATCATCGTGCGCCAGTGGCCTAGTGGATATAACACTTCGGCGTTTCTAGCGATGGTTACTGGGTTCGATTCTGAGTGGGAACAGCATTACTTATTGGAATGCAGGTACATTCAGCTGATGAGTGCCGAATATGACGAAACGCGCACCCTGGATTCCTCTGCTAATCACCAAGATGAATATTGTCTTCATTGCTTTATTAAGAAATGCCAGTTAGCTGTGAGCTAGTGCATGAAGCTGTAGGTGATTTCTGAGTTGAGCATACTGAGGACGTTGGTATATTATTCCATTCAATAAAACAACAATGTTGAATACTTCACTTTGAATTCAAAAGCTTAACTGTTTTTTTCCCCTCATAGTTGGTGCCAGATCAGTTAATACTTCTGTTGTTAAACAAACACTGGAACCTGTTTGGAATCAGCATTTCGAGGTAAGACCAGTTTAAGATACTACTCTTTGTTTTCTTAATTGTCATATAATCTCTGCTTTACGTTGACTACTGCAGATTTTTTTTCTGTAGGATGAAACTGCTTTCTCTCACATGGTCTCACCGTGTTCCAAATTAGAATTCATACGATGCCTAAGGATTATGATATACCAGTGGCTAATACTTCCTGTTTCAACTGAATTAAAGTATAGTGCAAAGCATTTGTATGATACCTGGTGGTGACTCACTTCCTGTTTGAAGTATGGGTTGTTGCTTCATAATTAGCAGGAGTTTCACTTGGGTGATGCAATCTTCGTGTAGGTCGTATTCAGCGCTATGTGTAGCTCACAACCTCTAGTGAGAAGAATATCGCTAACAACATACTTGTAGTATATTTTTTGTGTTATGCATGTACCTATGTCAACAACCTTATGACTTCAACATTGAGTGATGGGAGCGTGGATCGCCGAGAAAATGTCAGTTCCCTCATATTTGCACATACTGTTTGTTGATGAGGACTAACAGGCACGTTACTCGGGTTCAGAGCTTCTACTCGAATCCCAGGAACAGTGTAGCTAACTCTTTATTTGGTCAACTAGATCTTGACAGTTACATCGGTTACCAACCGGTGTCCACATATGCGTGATACCTTCATCATGCACGGAAGCAACAGGGGCAGATTCAACGCAGTACATGCAGCGATGAAGTTTATATATGAGGAGGAGTCAGAAGGTTAAACAGTTTTTCTTGATGTTCTTTTGTAGAGACGAACAGTTGAGTCGATAAAGATAATGTTGCTTAGGAAAAGTACGTGGATGGAGAAATACACACATTTTCTCAGCTTCATCCTCTTCGGTACAAATGAAATTCAACAAAATCTCTAAGATAGATAGTAAATGCTATGTGTTTGGAAGATACGACAGCGATGAAACTGAGGTCCTTGCGCAACAAACTAATTGAAAGTAGCTATCCTGATAAATTCGTAAAGCGGCATATGACAAGAAAGAATATTCCCACGGCTGATTCCCGTGTGGTTATCACAAGAGGACTTCTCTCCTCTCTTGAAGACTGGGATAATCAGCGATTGAGACCAGTCAGAGGGGATTATATTTAACTCCCATCCACTTGTTACCATTTCAGTTAACTTAACTAAAAACACCACTACCGTCCTTATATACCTCAGGAGTCAGTCCGTCTGGTCCTGCTGCCCTTCCTCGTTTGAAGTTATTTACCACTTTATCGACTCCTGAAATGTTGAGGGCCTATCTCAATGTTCCATTCAGGATCCGACTAGGTAGCGGACAACTTAGTAGTAGCTGTAGGCCAGTTGAACTGTCACTCGAAGTGTTCTGCTCATCGTTCCAGTCATCTGTGCGATTAAATCGCAGACCTATCCTTCTCCGCTGCAGTCTCGCTAACCTTTGACGTTTTCGCCTCAGTTACCTTAATCAGTCTAAATAATTGTCTACTGTAACCTGTCGTCACTATCTTATCCATCTCTAGCCTTCGCTGCCCACCACTGTTCGCAGTCATTGCGTAAACGTTGTGTCAGTCAGAGTCGCGTTCTGACCCTCATTGTACTTAGAGCCTGCAGGGATGCATTCGTGTGAATCCATTGATTCAGAGAAGGCTACTGATATTCACTGGCTCTTTTGACTAGTCTTTGAGAAGCTACGGTATTCAAAGCTGTTTTCACAGCAGACTGGAGACGGCTTCAAGCTTCCTTTGGGTGAGTGATAGTGTTCTGTTCCTGTAACTGCTTAGCCATTTTCTCACTGATAACGGTCTTAGTGTTCTCAATGTCAAGCTACACTCGTGTAGTTGTTAAAACTTTTACTTGCATTCTGATGCAGACATATACGTGCTCGAAACAACGTGTGGTTGCTATCCGAACATATGCTCCAGAAGGAGCGTCAGTTTTCCACCGACCCTCTTCAGAGATGACTGATGGCAATATCGTCTATCTGTGTGGATGGCTGAGTTGAGCTCGGTGGATACCACGTCAGACAATGTTTTTCTTTACGTCTGAAGTTCGTGCTAGCTAGAAATAAGAGGTTATCTGAGCACAGTTGTAGTAAGCGATCGCCGTTATCTGTTCGTTCAGCCGAAATCTTGTAAGTGCCACCTAAGTGCTTTTTTGTCTAACTCAGCCTATCCACTTGTTCATTGAAATCATCCGCAACAACAACCACGTCCTGAACATCTGGCTTTCATAAGAAGGCTGGCTAGGCAGTTTCCAGTCAAAATCATCCTTCAGCAGATATTGGTTGGGTCGGAGATATTCTACGAAACTTCTTTGTTATGTAGTTTAAATGTGCAGTATTTCAACAATTTGTTATAGTTGTATTTATCTCAGTGACTCTCAGTGTAATACAGGATGCGCATTTCTTCGTATTCAGCACTTGTCAGCTGGGTGTACATGCACCCCAGTGAGTGATGCTGTTCCCACTGGGACTCGAGCCCAGTGCCCGTCGCTTCAAACGCCAAAGCACTATCCACTAGGCCACTGGAGCATAATAGCTGCCTCTTGTGCATCAAGGCTATCTACGAGCAGAGGTCGGGCAATTCGACTCTGTATAGCAGCGGGGAATTATAAGTATCAAACATCAACAGTTTGTTATAGGGTGGAGATGAGTTGATGTTGAAATTGATAAATAGAATTAGTTAATTATTACCAACAAAATGTGGTCATTAAAATGAATGAGTGCCTAAGCTAATCAGTTGTTTGAAGACAATACAAGTAGTGAAATCAAACACCTATTTGTTCTCTGAAGACGTGACAGAAACGTACTTTTCAGATTAATACCAATGGTTTGAGATCAGTTGGCGTCTAATCACTGGTTCGATTGTTAGTTTAAGTGCAGGTTAACCTGACTTCCCAATGGGAAGTAACATTCCTTATGGAATTTTGTTAGGTATGCATGTACGAGACACTATCTGATGTTTAACACCAGCGTGGTTAAACAGATGAATCTTTACCATGTATACTTTTATCAAACATTATATCGCAGTTCGTTATTAAAATATTTTACGACTTTTGATGATACTACCTCGATTCTGTCATTTTGGAAATCATTTTGGCTTGTACCTTGACATTTTGATGTAAGGTATCATGCACTTGAACCGTTACATACAAATGTCAGGTCTCTTGATGATTGATAATGACTGGTTGAGTTAGCTTATCATCTTTGAAACGTTTTGACGTTCATCGTTGTATCTGCTTATTGACCTTCTGTTAAACCGAAATAGAAGAATCATATTGTGTCTGTGACATCTAGCTACGAATGTGTTTAGTGCAGTGTGTGGGATTGCTGACAAAATGCAAGGAACTCTGAACGTGTTGAGCAGAAGTCTGAGTATATATGGCATGCATTTTGCATCTTTCAAGTGTAAGATGTTGCTTCAGGATTGATCTGTAACTGCTCCCAGTCTGAAGAGACCGAAATAAGACGAGACGCGCGTCTTGGATTTCTCTGCTAGTCACAACCAAGTAAATTACCATAATAAACATACAGGTAATATTGAAGCATCCGCTAAGGAGCCCATATACCAACGAACAGACGTCGAACAAGTATAACAGCGGAGAATTACAAGTATATCAACGAATAGTTATATACTCCTAGTGAGTGAAGTGTTGAAATGCGCTGAGGAAATCTCATCTGGGATACAGAAGACCCGTTCGGTATTTGCTACGTTGCATCATCTGTGGTGCCGGCGAAATATCCAACTACCTATCAAAGATTGATTATGTTACGCTGCGGTTGCTTCTGTCTTGTTATACAGCTGAGATACTGCTGTTAAAAATAGAAGGCATGAAGCGGTTATAAGGTTTTGATTACGGATGTCTTCGCAGGATTGCTGGCGTTTTGTGGAATCACCGTGTGAGCAGTATCGAGGTCAGGCGATGAAGCTGTGAAGCTTGATCGACTGAAGTGGCTTGGGCGTGTGCTGCCCATGCAAAGTCACTACCCACCTCGAGTTGCTGGGCTAGAGAAAGTTGGATTAAGTTGGAAGAGAGTTCAGGGTGGCCAGACTAAGACCAGTCACTAGTCGATGAGGTCTCTGACTGTTGGTCTGAGCTGTGTGTGGAGATGTAGACTGTATGGTTTGGGTCCCCGAGACGACAGGAATCAGTGGTTGGAGAGTCTTGATGACGTGGTTAGAAGTCAGTCACAGTGGCGCTGTTTTATTCACTTCTTGACATCTAAGCTTGAATATTCACAATAGCCCCTACATTCAGTTTGCTTATTCTCCCACAGTACTTTATCTTCTTTGATATCACTCTTATTCTATCCACCTGCTCTTTGTGTATTACTGTGAAGTGTGGCTACTTAAGCATCGACATTACTGTGGTGTCATTTTATTTTAGCACATTCTCCCTTTCTCTTCCTTTTCTGTTTTATGATTACCGTTGAAAAACCAACATTTTCAAGCATTCCTGGGAGAAATGAAATGCCGTGATCCCATTTAGTTTTTAAGACCTGAGTGAGACTAAATATCCGTTTGATTCATATCTCAGTATAATTTTTTATGATACCTAGGACAATTTATATTGTGTAAAAAATGTTAACTGTGACACTGATTAAGCGACAGCTTATGCCAATACCCGACTAGCTAAACCATAGTAGGTGCGGAGTTGGAACCCAGATTCAAGGCAGTTTTATGTGAAGTACACTGTCAATGTGTTAAAGGATTTCAAAATAAACTTTGAAAGATACTTAGATCAAGAGGAAATCTTTTAAGTATTATTCTGGTCATAGTGTCTTCGGTGTGCATGATATTGTGTATATATTCATGTCTACCAGCGTTTTGTAGGTATCATGATTTTATAGCATAGCATAAAGCCGATCAATGAAAAAGATAATTGAAGTAAAACTATAAACTTTCATAACTTGTTTAAGTAGCCGTAAAATTGAGCTATTCAATGAATCACTCCTTCGAAAAATTGTTTGAATTACTAACCAACTTTATTTGAATTGCTAATGTGTAACCCCCCGTACAATTCATGTAAATCGCGGAGTTTACCATCCCTGTGAACAATCATTTCTGGAATATGGGAATTAAAAAAGAAAGTTAAGATCTTAAGATCTTCCTCTCTGTCCACGCAGAACGTGTTTGTCTTCACATAGATTTCACGGAGGGAGTATGATTCATGTATGCCGGTAAATGGCCTTGGTTGAACAGGAAAACTGTTTCCATCTAGTAATAATGATGGATAGAGACTAGCGGTGGAATCCAAGATGCACGTTTTGTCCTGCGACTCGTCAGCTGAATGTACCTGCCTCTCAGTAGGCGAACTCAGTTCCCATCTAGACTACATTACTGTTTTCATATCAGGTCTCATTGATTGAATACCTTGAATTAATGTTTTGCCTTAACATTAATTTACTATTCATTAGTACCGCTTTAGTGTATATACAAGTCACCAATATCTTTTTTCATTTTGTTTTCATTTAACTGTGTCCAGTTTATCGTAGATATTTGTCATGGACAGTCTGTAACAGTAGAAGTGTACGACAAGGATCAAGGGAATAAAGATGACTATTTAGGATGGTAAATATTTTTTTTCCTCTCATTTAATGAATTGGATCAGTTGACTGGTTTCAACTGATCTGTTTAGAATGATTTAATTTCTATAAAGGTACAATAAGGTCACATGGTTTACTGTTTGTGTACTCTTCATATTACTCAATTTTTTTTATTGGTGAAGATTTAACAAAAACAAACCCGTTGAATACAAGTTATTGTAACTGTTTTTTTATCATTCTGAAGATAATATCTAGATTCCTGTAGTTATTGTACAGTTCAACAGAAAAGTAACTTTACCAAGTACTCATATCAACAGAAATCAACCGTATTTACACAGACGATACAAATAAAACCTATTGATAATAACATCGATGTAAAAACTAGACCACTCTTGAAATTTATCAACAAGTATAGACGTTGTACAATTTCCAAACTTTTTCAATATTCAGTATCACCTTCCTTCAGCACGTTACACCACCCTTACCCCTAAAGTTTATTTATTTCATCACTACTTAGAGTGGTCTAATTGAATAGGCTATAATTTATTGTACGGTCAACGCGTTGCCATAATGGAGAAAATAAAACTTGTGATTCTGCATAAATCTAAACAAAATATGATTTATTGTAGGTCATCCCATTGTGTTCATCAATTCAAATGTGTATTTGTCGTTGGAAACCGATGAATAGGGTGAAATGTGAAGGTAGTTTGCAGTTGAGCACGGTTGAACATGTATTTTTTAGTGGCTGAATAAATAAATATCTTTCTTCATGTTTCACAAAACGCATTTGAAACTACCATGTTTATTGAAAGGATAAACTTATATTACAGCGTGGACACTAAGAATATGCTCTGTGCAAAATAATATGTCCACTTTATGCAGAAATAAAAGAGATGTAGAATAAACAGAATAGCTGCAACATGAGTGTCGCTGATGTTGACTTCGTGCTGTTCAGATAACTGCTGAAGCTACCAAGCTGCATGATTTCTTTCACTCCATCCGTGATATTTTGAACACCAAAAGATTCCAAGCCGACACATTTTTTATCTCGGGGCTTCAGTTCAGAAGCACATTACATCACTATTCCCTACCAGTATTCTAACGGCTGCATTGTAACATCCGTAACACGTATCCAAGGCACTAAATTCGTTGTTCAGAGATGGCTATGCTCAATGAGTCACCATCTTCATAGAGCCTTGACACATGCCAACAGGCCTCAGGATTACTAAGTGATAAGCCCGCTGAATGCAGTGGTGACCACATATATGGCTTGAAGAGACCAAGGTTATTAAATGGAACCCAAGTACGTAAATGCAGTCTTTTACGATCGGACTAAAATCATGGCGGTACCAAAGACGATGCTCTGGCTTTTGATATTCGGTTAGGAATCTCATCCAGTAACCCTATATTATCTTTCACCGAAAACCTACAAGCATGAACCTTTGAACTTATTATTAAAGTGTTTAGCATTGACTTTTGTCAATCATGTGGAGGTACTCCGCACTTTATTGTTCCGAAGCACATACCGTACTAGTAGACACTATTATCTTATCGACTAACTTCGAGTTGAGTAGTCTTTGCGTTGTTATACCACATCTGTTGACTCACTTGGTAACAGATCTACACGCCACCATACCACAACTCTATGGCTGTCTTATAAATGTCATCGATAACTAATTTAGAACAGAATGACGAAATCTTGTAACTTGTCGTAAACTGATTGCTGTTTCGGGACAATAACCAAAGGTGATTGTGTGTGCTCAGTCTACCTAAGGAATTCTCTTTTAGATTACTCTGGGACCTTACTTGTGTAACATAAATCTAAAATGTAATACTTTCCAAGTGAACGTCTGTTGATCTGCAATAAGCGTGATGGTCTTCAAGCATTTGTCAAAAAGTGGACATATGCGTTCTTGATCTGTATGACCTATATCTCATGAGTAGATTTCTCATTGATTTTGCGAAACCTAAAAGTAGCCAATGACCTGGTCGTGATTGTAAGCAGACTGCCACTCCAATGATTGTCACATATGTTAGTTCAGCTCTCTTGTAAGATAGTTATGATGATAGCCACATTGTGGACTTGTAGCCTGTCATATCTCAAGTAGTTCAGTCAGTTTTCTGACCATAGTCTCATTTTCATCCTTGGAAACACCCACGGGTAATTTTTACAAGTCACAAGCCTTTTCGTGCTTCCTTACTTGAAGTGTTTTCAGAAACTTCTTTTCGTTAATGTGCTAGTGTTTATTCTCACCGTAAAGCATAGTTCGTTGGAGATGACAACACTGAAACCGTATGTCAGCTAAATTGTTTTTCGAAATTTTTCGACCATTGTTCCATGCATCTTTGAAGATTTTCGATCGGTACAACAACTGTCGAACTGAAAGTCAAACTTACAGCAATTTTCTCTATGTTCACAGCTTGGATTAGCTGAAATGACCTCCAATTACTGTAAGATGCTACTGTTTCCATCTTCTCTAGTTGTGGTGGAATGCTCTTCTAAGTTGCAAGTGACCTCAATCATCATTTTTGTTCCATTTTGTAGATCCAGTTGTTATAGATTCATCTTTTGTGGACAATTTTCATGGTGAACTTTGCATAAATACAATAAAGCGAGCTGATTGATGCGAGAAGACTGATTTTAGCTAGCTTCAACCGCAGTGAAGGGCGATAGCAACTTAAACGTAAATTGACCAAAAGTCTTGACGTAAATCGCGAGTAGTGATGGGTGACGAAAGGGAGAGAGATGTACAAGATAGCAACGTTTGGTAACACCCAATAACTATTTAGGCTTATTAAGGATACCGGAAAAAAGGAGACAATGGTGAATGGGACTATCAGAGAAAAGGATACCATCCTGACAAACTCCCAGGATAGACTGCAAAAACGTTGGTCAGAGGACTTTGAAACCTAGTTTAACTGGCCCTCAGCAACGTTTCAAATGACCGACATCCAGCCTGAACCTGAATTGAATGTAGATATCGGTCCTTTAACTCTCCTTGAGGTTAAGAAAGCTATATCAAACCTAAGACGATGCAAAGCAGCAGGAACTGACAGGTTGCCACCTGAAAATTTCAAGGATGGAGGCGAGAAATTGCTGATAAGAGTGACAGAAGTACTAGGTAGTGTTTGAGAATCAGAGGTAGTACCACCAGCCTGGTGTACTTGACGGATCATCCCAGTCTACAAGAAGGGGGAGAAATCCTTTTGTGACAACCACAGGGGAATTAGTTTGACTAATATTGTGTCCAAGATCCTAGTGTCCTTAGTTATCAGTTGCCTGAGAACAGGAAACTTGAGAAAACCAGGCAGGTATCAGTCCTGGTTGAGGGTTCATCGTTTATATTTTTACCCTCCAACAGGTTATGGAAAAGAGGCATATCTACTGGCCAATGGTTTTTACACTTGCCATATTTCTTGACCGCATCTAGCTCAGTCGGTCGTGAGGTGTTGTGGCAGTGTCTGACTGTGAAGGAAGTAGCGAGCAAGTACATAACACTAACCAAAGCTCTCTGCTCGAACCCATGCAGCCGTGTCAGGTCTCATGGAGAGTTGTCATCTGAAGTGATGACGACTAGTAGTGTCTGGCAGGGATATCCACTGTCACTATTCATACTTAACTATGTTACAGACGTACTAAAGGACATAATCCTATGTACAAATGGCCGACTCCCTGGAGGTTATCTGGTTGGCTAGGAGTATGCAGACAATATCATCCTGATAGGTGAAGATGCTGACAAAGTGCAGGGTCTTCTGGGTACTTTAAACATGCGTTTTGTTTGCACCTTTCAAATGTAAGATGATGCTCCAGTCACGGCTGGTATGCAATCATTCCCAGCTTAATGACAAGGAGTGAAGTGGTGGAATGGGTCGACCGCTTGACTTGGGGGAGTTACATCAACATCACCTGTCTTTTTGTATGGCTATGGCACATGGCTGTTAAAAGTTAGAGATGTGAAGCGATTAGAGGGTTGGGTTTTGATCACATATGTCTTCGCAGCCTTATTCGCGTTTGTTGAAATTACCACGTGAGCAGTGTTGAGGTCAGATGATGGATACTAGGCAAGACAGGCAAGTTGATTGATGAGTATGTGAATCGCAATCGACTGGCTTCGTCGAACCATCTCCTACGTAGGCTTACCATACGAAGGAAAGTTGGGTTAGTTCGGAAGAAGATTCAGGGTGGCCAGATGAAGACGTGACACAGTTCATGACCGTTGGTCTGAGCCTTGTGGAGAGGTGTAGACTGCCTGCCTGGGTTTTTCGAGAAGACAGAAACCAGTGGTTGGTGGCTCCTAATGAAATGGCTGAAAATCAGTCTCATTGGCGCAGGTGTATTCACTCGTTAACATCTAAAGTTTGAATATTCCCACTGGTCTTAATCTTCAAATTGTTCATTCTGTCATACAACTTTGTTTACTTTGACATCACTCTTTTTCTATCCACTTGTTTTTTGTATACTACTTTGAGGTGTGACAGCTTGATTTGTGTGCGAGGTTCTACGTTAGTTTTACCTATCTTTCTGTTTGACTTCAAAGAATAATAGGTAATCCGAGGATCACTCCCAACTGTTTTTACTGATATGAGACGGTAATAATTGTCTGTTAATTGTCCATCTTTTCTTGTCTTTGGGTGTCTGTGGTAATGTGATTGACGTTCTGATGAGTGGTTAGAGTAGATTCGTTTACGCTTTAGGTTCATATCGTTCGTAGACTGCTTAATCTCATTTACCGGCCAGTGTAGTCTATATGTCTTCACATTCTTGTTAACCCACCCATCCGCTGACTTATTGTACTGAATGAAATCACACTCGTCAAATGGCACTTTTTAACATGCTTACGCACTGACATATAGATAAAGGATTAAAACGCAAATATCGTTCTGACTGTCTGGAATAGCTGTGGTTTCTCAGACTGGCATTGATACTGGGTGATGATTGAAGATGAAATGAAAATGTAGGTCCTGGCTGAATTCAAAGCAGTGACCACCGGCTTTCCGGTCCAGTAGCTCAGTTGTTAGAGTAGCGGACCAGTAATCCGGTGGTGGCTTCATTTCACCTTCAATCATCACCAAGTATCAATAGAACAAAATTCACCATATACAGTATGACACTGAGCCAATCATTGAAAAGAGCATTTCACATATAGACTGTTTTAAAATTTTGATTGTTGTTGTTGTGTATTAGTAGTACACTAAATTAGTCACACCTTGTCCGCTTTCTTGTTTTATCTCACTATACTATAGTACCTCAATACCAGTGGAATCGGTACTCAATGAAGGTGAAATAGATACGGTAAGTAAATAAATTTCAGTTATTAATCAAACCATTATCTTACTATTTGTTGCTGCAATATCATTTTCGATTTCTTTTTGATCGAAAAGAGAAAGTTAAGCATCATCCATCGGGCAATGAGATTGCTAAACGTGAACTGTCTAGATTACGTGTTGACTTCTCTGTCATCTTTAGTCATCACCTATCTGAAGGGACAGTTTTAATTGTAACAAAAATTCAATGATTAAGTTACGAGAAATCACTTTCATCCTTAGCAAGCCCGGTGTGGCAAACCTGGTAGACGTGAGAACAATTACTCAATGATGACATTGGGTGGTGGTTGTGCTATGTCGTGAACTGACAGAAGTTGAATATATGGACCATTGGATTCCGACTCAGTGGGTCAGTGGTAACGTACTGGCCAGGGAACCCTGCGTTCCTGGGTTCGATCCCTGTTGGGTTGGGGTTCATGAGTGCTGACTGCTGAGGAGTTCCGTACCTGGACGAAACAGTTGTCCAGTGCTTCCAATTTTCCTCCGACTGATGTCAGTTCATGATGAATACTAGCTTGAAAAGCATGTCGCCAGGTAGAACTCACTAATGAAGTCAGTGAACTTGGTCAATCAGTATCAATATTTAACTAGGTAATAATATGTAGTAGTCCTAGTTACCACTTCTTACATCATCATATCAAGGTCTGTAAATAAGGGAGAAAGTAGTCACCTATGTTAGAAAGGAAGAAACAGGGATGAAACAAAAGAGAACGAAAAGTCCTACGATAATTAGGATGAAGATAATGTGTAAATGTATGTGGACGATTGAAAACTGTCCTTAGCCGTATCACTAACCATAGATTCCAGTTGTCGCGCGGACACCTACATGTAACTTTATTTCTTTCTACATGGTTCACTAAGGGGGCTTCATGGTCTGATACCGTGTTTAAGTCTGACCACCTCTAACAATTTTTTCTGCCTTAACCTACCTCAGAGAACGTTGCATGACGGGGAAGGCAGTCACTAGGCATGCGTTACACATGTCCATGCCATCCGAGACGATATAAGTTCTCAACTTCATCAACTGACTTTTCTATTTCATCCAAAACTTTACAACTCACTTGTGCGTTGCTGGTGTTGCGATTCTGCTACACTCGGCCTATACTACGAAGGCGATGGTGGTCGTACACCCGAAGCCTCTTCATCTCCTCTATCTTTAATGGGCGAGTTGTAGAACCATACAGTATTACATAGTGAAACGCTGAGCAGTACATGACACCTAAAATAAGCAGTCAGGTGTTACGGTGACAACATAGATGGCGTACGTTGGCAAGAGAACTTGTATTCGTACGGAGATTTCGTCTGTCAGTGACCCATCAGTGCGGATTCGACTTCCCATTTAAGTAAAGTGATCATCGAGCTCAACCACTATACTCTGCATTATTGGGTGACATGCCACCACAGACCGTTCTTGGAGGAAAATTTGCCTTTTGTTAGCATAAAACGAATGCTAAGCATTTTCAAATTGTCACCCAACATGTTCAAAGGCCTCCGTATCTTGCTAGGACTTTCACCTAGGAGGATTATGATGCCTGCCTACTGTCTATCTACTAAAGTCTTCTATGACAAGATTCATCTGTGTAAAGTCATACGTACAGAACTCAACTGATAAATCACAATAGTCTTTGACACTGCCATTCGTGTTTGAAAACAAAGCCTTACACAGAGCGATCTACTTACCTGGCAAACCTTCCCAGAAAAACATGGTATAATACCACTTGATCAACTGAGTCTGATTTCGCTTTGTTAAGGAATTATAGCAGGCGTCAAGCACCGGTAAATGGGCTTGAGTTACAAAACCTGGCGGAGAACGAATGTTGAGTCGATACAACAATGATCAAATATGAAACCTACCAAGTTTTATTGAATTCTCTATTTCCGAGCTTCACTGAAGCTCCTAATAATTAGAGAACCTAGGATTTTAGACGCTGTTTTCGTTAAACTGATTCTCCTGTAGATGTTTGTTGGATAGGGGTAATTATCGGAGACCCCTGGACATCGGTTTTGTCCTTTTTGGCACTCATCAGAAAGGCGTATCAGCAACCTCGATGGAACTGATTCCTCTATATTTATCAAAAAATGATTTATCTCCATTCCTGAAGACTAGGATCATCAGTGATTGAGACAGGTCAGAGGCGGATCATATCTGACTACCATTCACTAGGTAACATGGTAGATAATGTAACCAATTTTCCTCCAATGCCGCCCTTGAATACCTCCAGTGCTAGTCCATTTTGACATGAAGCCTTACCTCATTCAAGTTATTCACAGCCTTCTCAACTTTGCGATGATGGGACGTTCTATCTCAGTGTCCCATTCAGTATGTGACTGGATAGTGGGGAACGAAATAGTAGGTGGAGCACGGTTGAAATGTTCCTTTGATCTTTTCAGTCAACTCCTCAGCAAGTGAATCGCAGAACCATCCTCCTAGCCATATCCTGACTAACTATTGACCTTTTCGCCCCAATTTTCTCCATAAGTCTACTGTCACACAGAGCCAATGTCTTCCTCATCTCAACTTTTGCCACCCACCTCTCTTTGTGGTCATCGGATAAACCTCTTGTCCATCTACATTTGAGTTGAAATAATGGAGAATATTTGTAGCTCAGGTGGATGGTCAGAGAACACAATACAACCAAGACATTTGAGTCGCTTACACGCGTCATTGTGTTCGGAGCCTTCAGAAATACATTCAAATCGATCCACTTATCTAGAAGAAGCTGCTGAGACCCACTGGCCCTTTCTAAATAGTTTTTGGAAGGAAGCTACGGTCTTCTACTCTATTTTTACAGCAAACTGGAGGTAGTGCCAGACGTCTCTCCTGGATGAGTGACGTTGTTATGTTTCTATAACTGTCTAGTTAGTTTCTCACTCAAAGCGGCCTAATTATTCTCAGCGTCGAGTTGCACTCGCAATGTTCTTGTTGCTGTAGTTTACCCACATCCATTCAGATTCAGATATGCGCTTGCTAGAGCCACCATGTGCACGCTGTTCAAATACATGCCTCAGAAGGAGCGGTCACCTTCTATCGACCCTGATAGCAATTTGGTTTACCTGTGTCCATCTTGGAGTTGACACTGAAGAATCGGAATTCACACAACCTCTGTCTGTCTGTCTGTCTATCTGTCTCTCTCTCTCTCTCTCTCTCTCTCTCTCTATATATATATATATATATATATATATATATATATGGTTCATGTTGGCCAGAAATAGGTGGTTATCTGAACACAGTTGTATCAGAGGGTCGCCGTTTGTTTGGTTGCCTTCTTCGACCCACTTGTCCACTGAGACTAAATGCTCTAACAACCACATCTGAACGTTTGACATTTAGTAGGAGTCTAGGCTGTTCGCCGTAGAATTCATCCTTTATTCCATCCAAAAGCAGTCATTGGGTCGGGTAAGTAAGCAGAAATAACAAAGAGATATTGGCGATTTCAAGTATCATTCTATTGAGCAGCAAGCGTCCAGTCAACTGTCAACCAGAATCCAGTGGAGCAGTGCATTTTCCTCCTCAATGCTCATTGATGTGTCTCCACCCTCAAAATCGGGAGAAGTAGCCGTTGAATGTCGAGAAACGTGAAGCATGAATTTCATAAATTCATCAAATTCATTAATTTAGTGATCCTCATGGATTATTCAGAACAAGAATAATTTGACCAAACAATTGCTTTCAATAACTTCTTCATCCTGTGCAGTTATAAATCCATGATAATAAATGAAGTGTGATAGCCGAAATAAGGTATGATGTACGATTATTAGTATATTTAAACAGTCAGTGTTATGGGAGAATGGAGATCAAATCCCATGGAGTGGAATGGTGGAACTGTTGTCAGTCTAGTGTGCTAGTTGTGCAATGAAATCAATACTAACAGACAAAATCAACAGATGATGATTCATATATATATATATATATATATATATATATATATATATATATATATATATATATATATATATATACATTTATTGGGGCATGAATGTGTGTGTGTTTGTTTACTAAGAGTCAACTAGTAATTATGTGATGAGTGATATTCAGGTGGGATAAAAATCATGTGAATACTATAACCAAGTGAGGTTAAGCTAATAACAGGACTTAGGTGCTGTATGTGTGTCTCACAAACCCAGCACGTGTCCATAACTTAAGAAACCGGAGTTCTAATATGTAAGTATACATGTATGACTGTAGCACTTGTCTGTCATATATTGCGTGTACTTAGAAAAGAAATGGAAGACGTGTACTCATCGACCTTGAGTATATTCGTGCAACAGGCAATATTCCACACCTATTGTGTGAGGCGTACTGATACTACTTGACTGCTCAAACCGTAGTAGGTTGACCGGCGCGTGAAGGTGTCATCCACTGTTTGAAATTCATCTCCCTAATCCAGTGAACGACAGCTTCTGTGTATATTCATATGTACATTTCAGAGCAATTGAGCTCTTTCCCACTGTCTGTGATTTTCAATGACTGTATAGATTTTCTCCTCGCTTAAAGAATTGTCTTGTAACCCTTGTTACCAAACTCACTTATGTATTTCACTGATTTGAAATCTTATGTATAGAGGTTGAGTGGGTTTTTTAGTTTGTCGTTGGTTAGTATTTTTAGATTCCTTTAATGTATCCACGTTCTGTTTGTCTACATTTCCCTTATATTTAGTGGTCATCTCTAGAAGGTGTTAAAACGGGTTCATTGCATATGCAGTTAACATGGTTTCGGATGTCAAGCAATGATGTGGATTTTAACAAGGTTAGGCAAATCCATCTTTATGAAATTATCTCTTCCTGACTGCATTTGATTTTGAATGAAATTATTTCACTAACCATTCAATTTTGTTTATTACCTTGACCAGGAGAACAGTTGAGTCAAGAATAGGCATCGCATTCAATTCACAACTAGATAGACAAATGCCTCTGTATCTTTGTTTATCAGTTTTCTTGTCATTACGGTAACCGAGATCTTATCGCTTCATGATTCACGAGACTACAATACCCACCTTTTGTTGTTGTTTTCGACTTTGAAATTTTCCACTGTGTCAGTGTATCAATCAGTCCACTTTTATTACTTTGGTTCCCTTTATACATTTTATTCAGCTGTGATATTTTTGGTTAGTGTTTAGCAGCGGAATCCAGAACTCACATTTCTGTCTATTTAAAACTCGTGAACCGGATTAATTTGTGTGTCAGTGTATTCGTAACAAAAATAATCAAAATATAGAATAACTGTGGTAGTACTATTGTAAAGACAGCACTATAAAATATGCTCATGCTGCCCGACTGATAGCTGCTACCTTGACGCGGTGGTTGGACTTGTGTAGCACAGTGACCTAATGAGCGCTGTATTGGCGGAACGTTTATTCCTTCGAAGTCCTACCATATTAAATAGGTCTGTCGGATGGTGGTTACAAAAAAAGCAGTTAGCATTATAGTGTAAATTGGTACGCTATGATGAGTGTCCAAAGGTGAAGTCGCACTGTTGACTTAACCTGGATTTAACAGCTGTAAGGCGCTTCCCATCAATGATTAGCAGTACAATGCTGGTGCAGCGTCTTTTTTGGGAAGGGGAAATTGACTGGTTTGTCCACCAAAATATCACGCTCTTTTCTGCCCCACGATCTTCTGCTGCTGGCGATATGTGTCCTCTCTAGCCGACGTGTGAACAACCGAACTTGGAACCAGCGTAATATAATATAATGATGGGTTTACTGAGCCTCAGTAACCTTATGGATAACGCTTTGTCGTTTGAAGCGATGAGTAGTGAGTAAGAGTCTCAGTGGGAACAACACTCACTGGGATGCAGGTCCATCTGGCTGATGAGCCCTAATTTGAACCAAACATGAGTCATGGGTTCCATTACTGCCACCAAATAAACTACAATATAATGAATAGTCGGACAGTATTGAAGCATCCAGATAGGAACACATCTGCCAACATTAGTCTGAAAATCCAATCTAGTATAGTAACAGGGAACAAGAATTGTCAATAAATGTGTCTCTGTTATACTTTTCATCATCTTGATCGTACTTGAGTAGATGGCTATTGAATCAATTCGATTTTGTCAGCGGGATATTATTAACAGGATTAAATAGGTGAATTGAAGTTCCAGGATTTAATTACTTACTTTGTATTCTGATTATTCCGTTTAAGCGGGAATTTTATCAACTATACTAACTGAGTAAATATCGTATATTTCATACTGATGTAAAACGGGGATTTTAACCTCTGAAATTTTCATTTTGACTGTGAAATAGCCATTCTTTGACAGACTAGTATTGATACTTGGTGATGGATGGTTGAAGGTGAAATGAAAATTTAAGCCACAGCAAGATTTGAGCTGGCGATAACCAGGTTTCCAGCCCGGTACTTTACCAACTGAATCAATAGACCCAACTGCTGACCAGTATTTTTATTTTACTTCAATCACCAGGGATGATTCAGATTTGAATGAGAAGTCCTGAGACTGGGCTGCCAGTGTGAGTGCGGTAGTAGTGCGTCACGAATTCATATGGTAGTCGAGCAAAACTCTTGGTGATTGAAGTGAAATGAAAGTTTGGTCAGTAGTCGCGTCTAGTAAGTCATCTGGTAGATCACCGGGTCGAAAACCCTGATGGTCGCTGGTTTACGTTATGCCGCGAGGCAAATGTTCATTTCACGAAGTATCAATGAAAAATAAAATCGTGAAGTTGCTTATTATAAATGAGGATAATATTTCATGAATCATCAAATCAATTGGAAAAATATAGGAGAATACAGGATTCAAAATAAACTGCAAATGAGTGAATAAATATGGTACGATTTCATTTTACACTAGTTGTCAACCTCAATCTATATACATACATTCAGTTGTATAGCTTTTTAAAAACGAAGTCATCACAAAGACGAATTTTCTTTTCTGATGCGCTTTTATAAATTCTGATTCTCCGTGGGTTGGTTAACTTGCTTAGTTATACCTAGTTTGCACTGGTCTGTTAATGATTACTACAAGGTTAAAATAATTGTTCCTCTTGTCAGTTTGTTTATTTAGTGGTGACATAAAACATACAGTTGATGTGCAGCAGTCCAAGTTATCAAATGTCGCTTATCTCAACGCATTAAACAGCAAAGCTACAAGATGAAAACCGGGGGGCGGGGGGGGCACAAAAGTTATAGAAAGGTGTATGCGCACCACAGAGGAGGAGAGGAGTCACAGTTAGTACTAAATTGTGACATAGTGGCGGAGAAAGAATATTAACAAACTCTTATCTGAAATAGATGATTCTTCATTACTCCCATACCTAAGTCTGAGTACTATACTGGACGTCACAACTACTCCCACACTATAGAACTACCAAGAAGTTAGTTAGGTTCGCGCAAATAATTAACAGTAGGCTTGTAAATGTAGCCACAAAACCATACTGCAAAGGAACTCCCAGTTATGAAAAGAAATGAATGAATATTTTTTTCATCTCTTTCCCGACCTCATGACACTTTCCAGAATCTCCTTAAGTTATTTTTTTAGCCACTTATTTAATAATGGATAGTAGCCATCAGTGGGATAAAAGATACATATTTCATTCTATTCGGGACTTATCGATCAGCTTGATATACACCTGCCTGCCAGTGAGTGTTGTTCCCACTAAGAACCGAACCCTATACCGATCGGTTGAAAAGCCAGACCACTGAGTCACGATACCTACTTCTTGTGAGACGGGTTTAGTTTATATGATATTGCTTGTATTATCCCGTCGTTGATTGCACCGAAGTTTATCAGTCTCTATTGGCAAATGAGCTCCTGTGTCGATGCCTCGATATTGCTTGAATTTCCAACATTATATTCATTATGTATAGTGGCTAACAGTGGAATTCAAGACGCTTTCATATTTAGTTGACGAGTCCCAGATAGGATGAAATTCGCATCCTGGATTCGGCTGCTAGCTACTATCCATCATTACAATATGAACAGTTGTTGTTGTTGGTATATTTTGCCTTTGCCTGGAGGGAGATGTTTAAAACAATTAATTTATATGTAATCCAATTATTATCTTCATTCTCTTGCTTATTTGCTTACTAATTGTATTATTATCGACCTTACTGTGTATAATAAAATGGTGAGTTTGCATAACTTGCAGTTATCATCAGCTTTAGTGTTTAGTTTAGTGTTCATTGCGCATGCACTTTCAACAATTCATACTATCATCATCATCATCATCGTATGGCTGTCACTCTATCTGCTTGTGTGTGTGTGTTTGTACCCATTTATGATTGTGACTAATTCGATTTTATTAACTCATTACTGTCCCTCCGCTTTGTCATTAAGAAAAATGATTCATTGATCCATGTCTCCTGAAAAAAGCTGTAATTTTGTTTTTGTTTTTCGGTGTTTTCTATGTTTCTTTTTATGTACAATCAGTTCATGTAAATAATCATTTAAATTCCATGATTTCCTATACAGTATGCATCCTTTTCTTTGAAATAGTTATTAGTTGGAAACTGAAAAATCGGGCAAAATGTACATTTCATTGAAGTTGACTTTAAGATGACCGACCTCGTGTGTTCTTCGATTATATGTGATTTTTTTGATTACCGTATTTGAATTCATCAACTAACTGGCGGTCAAAATTGTTTTTACATGTTTTGGATGAATAAATTGAGAAATAATCACAGTGTACCGAATAGATTGTGAACTTAGCGTTCACTTCAACTCAGTGCATATTCATTCCTCTGTACTATGTGAATGCATGATGAATAGCATGAAATGGAGGGCAGTAAATCCTATGCTTTATCACTGTTGTCCAAGGGATCTTATCACTGAATAGCCGCTTCACTCTGGTTGTTTGACAAGTCACATAGTTGAACTATTCAGTTCTCATCCTAGGTCTAACTGGTTCGTGTGATCAAAATAGTACTATCTGAAAATGGTTTATTCTTCAGCGAAGTATAGGAAATATAAATATGTTAGGATTCCTTCGTTTCTATTCTGATGGATGTCATATACGTCGTGCGTCAAACCGGCGTGGTCTCAGCTAAACTGTGATGACAGCAAACCTCACAGATAACCGATCAGGTTGGAGACGGCCTATTGGCATCAAGGTTCGCTTGTGAATGTATTCTTACAATCGCGTTTTTTGGTGAAAAATATTACAGAACTCTTTGACTTTGTGATATTTAGATGTTAGTAATCAAAAGCTGACCACCGATGAGTTATACTGACAAAATTCACTGTTACATACTAAGCATTCACACATACATGGATAAGAGGCGTTAAGGTTTAAAAAGAAGACGCGTAAGGCTAGGCTATAGTTTCTAAAGTTCTAGCGTTTGGAATTGGGGAACAAATTGGTCCAAAAATCTCCAGTCAGCTGCCTTTCTACAGGTTTATTCGGGTTGGTAATTTGCCTGAAATAGTGGGAAGGAGATAAAAATTAGGGTTATGATCAAGTATTATTGTGATCAGGCTGTTATTAAAATTCATGATAAGCTGCTCACTCTTGAAAACAAAAAAAATAATTATCCATTGTTGCACCGTTTATTGTAGTAACCATAAACGAAGTTTAGAAATATTCATTTACTGTACTAATTAACTGTTTTTCATTTTCTAAGACGGCTTTTCGTAAAACGCGCTTACCTCATTGGCCAATTAGATTTCGGGCAAACTCGAACGTGATTGGTTATCAAAATCTTTAGTCAGAACTCTTTGTGATGTTGGCTCACACCTTAAACTTGTATCACTCGTATATTTCATTAGTTTAAACAGTCATTCAGAGAACAATTTCAAATGGGGTAACGAAATCCTCATATTTTCTAGTTGGTATTTTCTACATAAAGGTCTTTTCGAGGATTATTTCAGCTGTTTTGTATCTTATTTTCCTCTCATAGATAGAAGAATAATAGGCATATCTCTGATTTTCGTGAAGCATTTAAATCATCGTGTGGTTTATCAGGCTTGCGGCCAGACTACAAAATGATCAATGGGATTCAGTCAGCAGTTAGGCCTAGAAATTGTTTACCTTCCAGTAGCCAATTAATGTACCCTACCCAGTCCTACAGAAGTCCAATTGCCGCTTGAATAGCTCAGTGGTAAGCTCTCTGGCTCCAACACTGAGCACCGCGGGTTCGAACTTCAGGTGGGACATCAGTTCCATAGAGTCTGCAGATACGCCTGAATGATGAGTGGTAAAAAGCACGAAACCGAGATCCAGTGCTTCCTGCCGAATGTCTCTATCCAGCAAACATCTAACGAAATTCATCGGTATCGTGAGCCTTCTAGTTTGGTATCCACGCTGCAAAATTATCAGTAGAATTCGGTCTGCTCTTAGGACTAGACAACATGAGGTTGATTGGTCTCCAGTGACCAGTCAGTGCATAACTCAGGTGCATTCTACCCACTCACCCTGACTTGTTTTTATCTTACATTTTTACCCTCTTTGTTTTTGCGTTTTCAATCAATGTGTTTATTGTTTGCGGGATTGTTTGCTAGTTGATTTGTTTTTGTTAACTCATCCTAATAATCATGGTTTTGTTCGCATTGTCTTGATTGCTTTGTCTATTACTGCAAGAGGAAGCTATGTATAGTGTACTTACTCAAACTTTTCTTTCCACTCCTATTTTGATTTTCTCAATTGTCATTGTTGACAATTGTGCTGTCCTCTTAGGCAATGGAACAGGCGTTACAATATCGTAAAGCATCTGGTCGAAGTATGAGTTCAGGTTTTTTGTATGTGGTTATTGAACAAGCGCACAATTTACCAGTAAGTGATTTTTATATCGTGTAATGTATTTGAATATTTTTATTGTGTTGAGCTCTAACTCATTGCCGTCCGATGTATGCTTCCGAAATAAACTTCATGTTAAATGAAATCAAGTACTGTGCTTAATTCCATTTTCTGTGCTTAAAATCGGTTATTTGACTGTTGTTTGTCATGATACGTTGTGATTATATGGTTGAATAGTGAGGTTGCATAACTGGAGACACAAATAACAAGGATAGTGACCATAAGTGTTGTCTATTAGGCAACCAATGGTTTGGAGGATACTCTTGTAACTATTTCTCAGATGATCTGTGTGTATGAGTTGTAGTTGTATGCGCTGTTAGTCACACGCTCAAACGCAGTACAAGAGGATTGCAAAACCATGTGATAAGAGAAAATACTAGTTCTCATCTTTCTAGTCAGGGCGATTCGGTATATTTAATAAGTCGTCGGTTGAAATTATAGATTTTGCCCATGCCTTTCATGTATGTTAGCTGTCAAGAGAAGCCGTGGCTCATTGTTAGTTGAATTTCAACTAGTCAGACATAGATTCTAAACCCACTCCACCTTCCGAGGTCTGGTCAGCCAAATGGTACCACTAAACTTAATAAATGTGGTTCATTGCTTACTGCATAAACCTACACATAGTTATTGAGTGCATCTTCATCTTTTTTCCATATTGATGATGAAATCCAGCAGGTTTTTGGTTGGTATCAACACATCATTTTCAAGGTAGTGACAACTTAAGCTCAAAAACAATAAGCATGAAGATAGGGTATGTCTTTTTCATTGGATTAGTCCTGTGATTTGCTCTCGTTGTGAGTTATGGCAACTTGAACCAATGTGTTTGTTTGCAAGTTTCTGTACTGTTTTTGTCAGTTTCTCTGACTGTAAAAGAATTTATGTCAAGCACATTAGGGTTTAGATAAGGTCAACTGACAGACTATCTTTTAAAGATGTACGTGAAGTAGTTTTCGTCCATTTATGAACACATGGTCCTATCGAGGAATTTTTTCGATACTTTACAATTTGCTTGTTTGCTTATTTCGCTTAAATCACTTTTTTCTCTTTGAATAAATAAAATTTGAGTCATAACAGCTACAGAGTTCGTAGTTCAACTATTCCAAACCAACAATATTCTTCTAATCACTACTCTCGCTTACACTATTCATTGTAAATGTAATCATGTTGAGGTTTGGCTCATGGCATAAACACTTGACTCTTGATCGACGGGAAGAGGTTATTAGGTTTTGATCATAGGTGCCTTCATAGCATTTCTTTCATCTGATGGGACCACCGTATGAGCAGTGTTAAGGTCAGGTGAAGGTTACTAGACAAAGTTAGGTAAGTCAATTGTGATGGGATTATAAATTTCCATCGTCCGAGGTGCCTTAGACATGTGTTGCGCACGCCGATTAGCCGCCTTCCTTGATGTGCCATGCTAGGGGGAAGTTGGTTTAGGTTGGAAGAGGGTTCAGGGTGGCCAGACCATGACCTGACACCAATCGATGAAGTCCCTGACTGTCGGTCGGAGTCGCATTGGGAGATGCAGACTAACTGGCTAAGGTCCTCGAGATCAAAGAAATCAGTGACTGACGACTTTTGGTGATAAGGCTGAAAAATGATTGCAATGGCGTAGATGTATTCACTCTATGGCGTCTTCTAAAGCTTGAATATTCGCACTAATCATTATCTTCAGATTGCTTATTCTCTCGCACAACTTTGTCCATTTTGGTATCACTCTTTTCCTGTCCATCTGCCTTTGCATACCACTTTAAAGTTTGGCAACTTGGATCGATGCACCTGTATGCGAGATTCTACGCTGATTCCATCTGTCTGTCGATCGATGGGTGATGGATTGAAAGCCTCACTCGCCTTCTTACATGTGAGCAGTCAGACGGTATCATAATTCGTGACAAAATAGGTTGGGCGTATTGCATAATGCACAGACATGCACGTGGTCGCTGAGTACATTTCGACTTTGTCTTTTCGAAACGTAACTATCTGACAGTACTTTATCATCCCCGTTGTACTTTAACTGTTATTGATCATATGATGGTGTGAAATTCTCAACAATAAAATAGTACACCATGACTCTTTTAGATAATGGTAAATGCGGTCAGACTGGGTTATTACTCTCAAGTTTAAAATCTTTCCACTACATAATCAAGTCTTTCTAGCATATAAAATGAATGCTTTTAAATTGAGATGTTTTTTCAACCAAGAGGGTTGTCTTGTTCTGGATAGGTGTAATACATTCTGAATACAGCAAGAAAAACAACAGTAGCGGTACTAGCATCCATGTATTTCGTGGATTTTCATCAGCTGCTTTACAATCAATAGAATATAATGTTTATCATAAACAATATGTTATACTAGTTGGTGGTTGAAAGTGAAATGAAAATTTGGACCGCGGCAAGATTCTAGCCAGCTTCCACCGGGTTTTCAGCCCGGTTTTCTACCAACTTTTACCTTCAATCATCATCCAGTACCAATACTATTCTATCAAACGACGGCTGTCTCAAAATGATAATCAATGTGTTATACAATGTACTTTGATAAATTGACAAGAATTTTTTGAAATAAGGATATGAGGATTGCCATAAAAATATTTATAAAAATTGGAGGGGTTTGCGCACAATGATATTCTAGAATCGATAAAAAACGATATCACCTATAAGTAAGCGTAATAAAAGGTCAGCAGGTTTTCATAATGAATTTGATGAATACGATTTACAAAGTGAAGAGTAGTTTTTGAAATAGATCGAAAAATAAAGCGACAAAATAACTTAAGTATAATTGTTCTTATAGCATACCGTGGTTCATTGGGCCGAATTAATCGATCTCTATGGTATATGGACTCCTGTGCGTATGCCTGGATATTACCAGTGCTCTAATGATAGTAATGATGAATAGCAGTTAACAGTGGAATCCAGGATGCGCATTTCGTCCGATGAACGATGGTATGATATAAAAAAAAATTATACTAAGAACCATACCCGTCGCACAAGAAGTGGCTATCGTGGCTCGATGGTGCAGTAGATAAAGTTCTGGCGTTTGAGGCGATCGCTCCTGAGTCCGAGTCCCGGGGGGAACAACATCATTCACCGGGAAGCAGGTACATCCAGCTGTCGAGTCCCAAATAGGACGAAATGCACATCCTCGACTCCACTGCTAGCCGCTATCCTTCATTAAAATAACTCAAGGTCATGGGGTTAGGAATTCTTGTATTCACAAGTTTATGAGATTAAAATTATCCGAAGGTAATGCAAGATTTCATGCTGATCTTCCTCATAGGCTGACATCAGTCAGTAGGCGAGACATTGGAAATCTGAAAGCACTGAATAGCTGTAAGATTGAGAACAATGTCTTTCTAAAAACATAGATCACATTTGATTCTTTTAATTGTTATTGCTTCAACTAACCGGAAAGATTAGTGGAATTCACTGGTTTATTCATCACTTTGAATGACTTTATTACGTCGACTTTATGTCCAGCAAATGCTACATGATTGCACTATGTGATTGATTCTTTCTGCACATAATTGTTTGTTTGCCCAAAGCGAAAGGCTTGATATAATAATTGAGATTATAGTTTCGAACGTCTGAATATTATCTATGACGTTACATGAGATTCTTTTAGAAGAATATGTTTTTCAGTTAACTTGATTCTCGGTTGATGAAAAGTTCATGTGAAGTTCTGGTTAGCAAATACCATTCAAATGATATAATTTTTCAGTAAATTTCTTGATGAAATTGTAGTTTTTGTGTAAAAATATCAACTACCAAGATATTTTGAAAAGTTGTTCTATAATCCAAGCTTTAAAAATGTACGATTGGTTCTGTATACATTGACTCCATAAATATGTGTTTCGCGTTCATTTCATATGTTTCATAAATTGTTCATCTACTATTATACTTCCTGGCGTAACTGCTTTTTCTGTTCAACAAATCCATGAGGTTTCCTAGGTGTCACAGAGTCAAAGAACAGAATCGATTCTCACTAACAGAAGATGAACCAGTGCAAGGATGAATGACAAGAAGAGGAACAGAGTACAATGTATAAAACACTGGAAAAAGAAGTGAAGAGTGCACGGAAAGACGCTACTACGAAACACTGGCAAGTGAAGCAGAACAGGCTGCAGGCTGGTAGGAGAGACCTGACAACATTGTATCAAATAACCAGGTTGCTTTCTGGGAAGAGATCAACGCAGACGAAACCAATAAAAGATGATGACGGAGATTTAATTACGAAAGAAGAGAAACAGAGGAAACAATAGGCCGACCACTTCAAGAAGCTCTTGAATCGACCACCACCTGCACTTCGTCCAGAAATACCACCTACAGCCGCTAAACTACAAGTGAACATAAATCCTCCAACAAAAATGGAATTCCTGAACGCCATAGAGCTACCGAAATGCGGGAAAGCAGCAGGACCAGATGGAATCCCGTCAGAAGCACTGAGAACAGACGCAGAGACAACAGCGTACATGCTCACATCACTATTGCAGAAGGTCTCGAAGGTAGGAAAGGTACCTGTCCGTTGATTGGAAGAAGGGTTACCTTGTCAAACTGCCGAAGAAGGGAGACCTCAGTGTTTGCAAGAACTGGCGCGGAATCACGCTGCTGTCCACCTAAAGCAAGCAAAATATTGAGCCGCATCATCTTGGAGAGGCTAAAGGATGCACTGGATTCAAAACTACGACCGGAACAGGCTGGCTGGCTGGCTGGCTGGCTGGATTCAGGAAGTACAAATCATGTGCGGACCAAATTGCAACGTAACGCTACGCATCATCATAGAAGAGAGTATAGAATGGCAATCAACTCTCTCTCTACCTCAACTTCATCAACTTTGAAAAGGTCTTCAATAGCATCGACCGAGAAGTAATTCGGAAACTGCTTCAACACTGCAGAATACCGCAAACCTTTATTCGCCTCATTCAACAACTATATGAAGACCACATGCCAAGTAATTCACAATAGGAAACTCAGTGATGCCTTTGAAGTGAAGTGAAGACAGGAGTGAAACAAGGCTGTCTACTATCCTCCATGATATTCCTGATTGTGGCTGACTGTACTGGATCATGCAGCAAACAGTGGGGAGCTGTGAGAACAGGGGGATACGCTGGATTGCGGAAAAGAACCTAGAAGACTTGGATTTTGCCGATGACTTGTGTCTGATGTCACACAAACTTGAAGATGTACAGGCGAAAACTAAGAAGTTGACAGAAGAGGGAGGGCAGCGAAGACGGGACTTCAAGTGAATATAGAGAAGACAGAGGTGATGAAGATACTGCACCAACAACTCCAACAACAACAAGAAACTCTAGTCACCATCAACGGGAGGGACTTAAAGGAAGTAACCTCCTTCACCTATCTAGGTAGCACTGTTTCAACTACTGGTGGCACAGGCACCGACGAGGACGTCAAAACCAGGATCAGAAAAACAGCAAGACAGGCATTGATTAGCCTGAAACCAGTGTGGAGATCTTCTGTGTTCAGCATAAAGCGTGAACAAGATGCGGATTTTCAACACCAATGTCAAGTCTGTTCTTCTGTATGGTTGAGAGACTTGGCGTGTTACGAAAGGGATTTCCAATAAACTACAGACATTCATCAACAACTGCTTACACTGGCTGGTTACTGAAGATGAAGATCAGATGGTCAGGAAGAATAAGCAACAAGGAACTCACTCTGGCAACGAACCACCGAACTAAGAAGCTATCACCCAACAAATATGCATTGGAAGGAAGTGGGGATGGATTGGGCATACACTGGGAAGGCCGACTGGGGACATCACGCGCCAGGCCAGGCTATCGAGTGGAACCGCGATGGTAAACGACGAGTTGGGCGTCCTAGTTGAGGGTGATATGGAGGAGGTCATGTGAGGAGGAAATGAGAGGTTGTAGGCTGTCGTGGAGCCATATTCAAAAGATTTCAGAGAGCAGAGTGGAATGGAGACGTGCTACTGAAGCTCTACGTTCCACTAGGAACCTAAGGGACAAATAATAATAAACAACAAATCAGTTCCACAGATTATTACATATTTCACTTTCGACTTTTCTCCGTAGTACGGTGACATAAGTAGTACGGGAAATAGAAACAGGATATGTAAATTAATTCACTAGTTGTTTATGCATGATCACCATTGTTCTTCGTAATTGGTTTTCCAGTAGATCCTGGTGCTTGTATAAATCTAAGTGGGCGGTTGAAACTTATCGACTGCGCACACTGTGGAAGGCTAATTCTTCTCGAGGTACCTGGCGGAGGAAAGATACTGTATAACGACAAAGCTCAAGAGAGGCTGGTCACATAAGACCTTTTGACAAGTTTGCGAGTTCGATTTTTTTGCGTTTGAATTCAACTATGAATCCGTGTTGTAGGCATCGGCATACTCCTATTTCTAGGACCAACCTTTTCTAACCCACCCCCACTGTTCACATAAGGAAGGCAGCATCAGCGTGGCACTGCTGTTCATCCATGGGGAACACCTTGCTGCTGTCACACCCCATTCCACTCAACAGTACAACTTTGTCCTTTGAACCCCATCATAGCTTAACACTTTACACTGTAAGGAAAACTGCTTTTTATGTGACCACTGTTCAATAGACCCTTCTGGTGTCGTAGGACCACGAGCCAACAAGCGTTCCGCCAGTATAGCGCTCATTGGGTCATTGTGATATACAGGTCTGACCACGACGTCAAGGTAACAGCTAGCCGTTGGGCAGGCTCGTAAATGTTATTGTAGACTTTGGTGGCAATTGTGATCAATATTTTACTCTCTTATTAATTCAAACTCGTACTAGTTTCCAAAGTTCATTTGTTTGAATTTTTATGTGTCACATGATATCCTAGTTCACTTATAACTTTACCGAATAAGGTTTTAAGGTCCATTGGTATAAAACATACTGGCAAAAAATATCATGGTTACTGAAAATGGTGGTTGCAACAGTCTGAAAAGTTCACGTTCTTATTATTTATTCTGGTATACAAGAATAGGTAATAAATGATGACTGCGTTCATCAGAGTGCTATAATTGACGTCCAAACAAACCAGATAGCGTAGAATCTCTCGTAGCAGCAACACACAGGAAAATTCATCAGAAATAGAGAGCAACTACCATATTGATATTGGTGACTAGCAGAGGAATCTGGGACGTGCATCCTGCTAGACACCAAGATCAATATAATATCATGGATATGCTGCAGTATCATGGCATCCGCATAGGAGTCCACGTGCTTACAGAAGTCGAGCAATCAAGTCTGTGTAGCAACAGGAAATTACGAGGACCATTACAGTAATTACCAGGGTTTGAAACAGTTAGTCTCGTTTATGAATTTAGATCTTGTAATTAGAAGACGAAGCTTATCTGAACAATGTTTGCTATGTATTTGCTCAGTGCATTTCGGATGCATTTTGGATACCGCATTTATTCGCCAAGTCGCTTAATATAACACCGCAGGATAGGAGGATAAATAGAACAGTTAAGATAATATGAGGCATCACAATTCAGAAAGATGTGAATGAAAAAGGAAGGGTGATAAGTTGACTTTATTCTTCGTCAGAAGAAGGACTTTACCAAGGTAGATGTAGCGTAAAAACATAATGTTGCACATACCAATGTGGTTTCAATTTGCATACGATTATTGCTCAGGTAAGCCTCGCTTTGCATCCCTGACTGTTTCTATATAAAACTTGGAAAACTATTTTTAACCCGTTTCTGTATAATATTTAGCCATAGATGAAGAGCGTTGTGTCTCATCTCCGCTTATCAGAGTTTCACACCGCTTGTTCAACTGCATGGCTCGATTACTCATGTATATATATATATATATATATATATATATATATATATATATATATATATATATATATATATATATATATATATATATATATGACTACACACATATGTAAGCTGATAAACTATAGTTCTTAATAAGCAGTTAGTTTTGTAGCCATAATTTTGTTTCCTCTGAAAAAGGATTATTGAGTGAGTAACTAGATCAAGAGGTTGGCTGTATTCCAACACTTATTGCTCTATTCAGATTGCTGTCATCTGAATAAATGTGGTAGTTCATTAAAAGTTGTCATTGTAGTTCGAAAGTTATTTGGGTGAACAAAGAATATTATTTTCGGTAGCTTCTCCTTCAGATCCTATAGCTTTACGTATACTTATTGAGGAATTATGCGTCAACAACATATTGAGATTTCGCTTACCAGTTTTTAAATAAAATTATACAGTTGGGGAAGCCGATTGAGAAAAGTCTTCTGTGAACGTTTATGGTAGAATCAGTTGTAACTGGGATTTATTTCTAAATAATTGCTTATCTAGAAAATTAAACATTGGCTGCTGCTATAGGGGGTTAATTTTTCTTCGCTCGCAAACACCTTCCAGCGTGGTTAAGTACGGGCATAATGAAGACTCTTACCGACTCCATATCAGCACACATGGTTGGAACGAAGCGTAAGGTGGATATGAATGAGTATTTTTTCATTCTGTACCGGGTTCTCATCAACTTGCCCAAAAATATGCGGTTCTTAGTCCTTCAGATCCCAGAAGCAGTAGCAATTAGGATCAAACAACCTGAGTTGTGTGTTCAAAAGAAGCGCAAGTACTGCCACTGCAACTACCATGGCCGGATTCACTTCACACAAATTCATTCACATCCTTCCTTTTAGACAATCTAATTCCATACTGTAGATACCCCTTCTTCCCTATAATCTGAACTAATTTAAACAAATTCCCTTTAGCCTAATTTACCCTGTGATAAGATATTATTCCTCAAATTATCCTTTCTAGTTTGTTTCATCAAGCTCTCATAAACACCTTCCTACTGTTTCATTAAACTATCACCTCAAAGTATTACATGAGCCATGTAATCATTTAGACAACCAATTATTTTGAATTGAGTCACTGTAACAACTGTATAACAAATATTATTAACAAACTGACAAGCAAAATCTCAATATATTATTCCCGGATAATTCCTCATTACATAAATATATATAACTGTAGTAGAACCTGGAAAAGTAGAAGTTATCGAATGTGGTATTTCTTCGTAATTTATGACTTCAGCTAATGAATGATATGGCGGATCTTTACATTTGACAACGTGTTGCACACTGATTGGTAACTTCCCAGAGTTGTGTTATTTTGCATGCTATCTTCACACTAGTTACCTTCGAATATCTGTTTTTCTGTCAACAGTGTGTAAAACAACTTCAGGAACCTTCACCATATTGTAATTTACACTTGGGTCGTGATTATCAATCAAGTGAGGTAAAGGAGAAAACACAAAATCCTATCTGGAATTCCGTTCATCATTTCCTTGTTAGTGATCCTAATGTTGACAATTTACAGCTAATTGTAAGTTTAACCTGTGTTGAAATAAAACTAAAGTTTGGTCTTCTTTGATTCCTTTTAATTTTTGAGTATTAAGTTAACTTATTGTCTGTCCTTTACTTTTTTGCTGTGATTACTAAGAATACCTTTCATTGGAAAATAAGTAGAATAATAATGCGACTCAGCAATTGCTTACAGGTTCGTGTACTCGGTCATGAGGCACACTTATTGGGTGAGCACTATATGTGTATTCGAAGTTGAAGGAGTAATGCTCAAACGTATGATCTTATTCGGCGACTGGATGTTTGAATTAATCAACCCTAGGTAAAGTAATCATTGCAAGTTGTAATAAAGTTCAAACTATGTGATGCTTTTATTTTTCGATTCCTGGCTGGATACAACGAGGAAATGGTTGACAGTAGTTCTAGCGGATTACATACAAAACTGAAAGCTGACAAGTTTGTGTTCTTCAGTCTGATTGATTTCTTACTGTTGCCAGTTCTGTGTTATGCGTTCAAAAAGAATACTGCAAATCAAACTACCACTTGTAATTGTTCCAAGTACTCTGTCGTGGTGGATATGTGACACTTTGGCTTGTATAGTACACTGTCAGTCGATATGTCTGGCATTCTAGCCGTGGTACAACTGTCGAGGTATGATAAGCCAGGTAGTATCACTCACCTTCAGTGATTGATGTGTGTTGCTGACTTTTAGTCTTACAAGGTGATCTAGTTCAGTATAGTTATTAGATTGTTTGTTTGATGTGGAATTATACTCTGCTAGAGTCCGTACAATAATTTCATTGTCGTCTTTGTCTAATATTGCCAACTCCATATGAGCAGTTGAAAAAGAATAAGATATCTGTGCGATAGTATTTTAAATTTCGCTTTTCCTAACGCAGTTGAATCCTACTGAGTTCAATCCTAGTACCATTGTATTAAGAATTTCCTTTTTGATATGAGGATTTTACTGGCATGTGTGCACACCGTATTTTAATATCATAAGCATGAAAATGTATCTGTGTTATTTATATTAAGGCATGTCTTAGCACACCGTATTTATATATCATCTGCATGAGAAGTGACCTGCAACTTACACATTACGCATAGGTAAATACGCCTACCAACTCACTTTTGTTTATATATATATATATATATATATATATATATATATATATATATATATATATATATATATATATATATATATATATATATATATATATATAGGGATATCTGATAATGACCGTTCCGCAGATTCGCCCACAGAAATTTCGTTTTCTCAGCAGCAGTCGAGCGACAAACCACTTCAACGACACCAATCCAACGACTTCACTAAACCATCCAACCGGTGATAGAGACGGGGGGTGTATACAAAGGGCAGGGACCTAATCAGAGCAAGCTTATAACTTGCACTTACTAGGAATTCCTCGTTCACGGGGAACAATCGCCAGCCTCGATCCCAGTCATGATGATGAAGAGATTTTCCTAACCCTTTGGTCTCGCTGACACCGTCATTATGGCGCAAGTGTGGCCCCGGACTTCAAAGAGCATCACAAACCCATTTTTGCGACTCAAGTGTGCCGTTTGTCCCTCTAAGAAGTAAAAACTGACACCGTACCCACCGCAAAACGATCACATCATCCCATAGAGAAGCAGTAGAAGCTGCACCCTGAACGAGCACAGAGGACCAGTTTACTATTTAGTAGGTTAAAGTCACGTTCGTTATCTGAATTAACCAGACAAATCGCTCAACTAACTAAGAACGGCCATGCACCACCATCCACCGAATCAAGAAAGAGCTTTCGATCTGTCAATCCTCACAGTGTCCGGTCCGGGTGAGTTTTCCCGTGTTCAGTCGAATTAGACCGCAGTCTCCACTCCTAGTGGTGCCCTTCCGTCAATTCCTTTAAGTTTCAGCTTTGCAACCATACTTCTCCCGGAGCCCAAAAACTTGAAGGTTTCTTGGGGACTGCCTGCGATGTCAAATAAAGAACCATCGCGGATCGTCAGTTGGCATCGTTTATGGTCAGGACTACGACGGTATCTGATCGTCTTCGAAACTCTGACTTACGCTCCTGATCAATGAAATTATTCTTGGCAAATGCTTTCGCTGTGGTTTGTCTGGCGGCGATCCCAGAATTTCACCTCTAGCACTGCCATACAAATTCTCCCGTCTATACCTCTTAACCATTACTTCGGATACGAAAACCAGGAAAATAGTATCGAAGTCCTGATTCATTATTCCACCCAAGAATTTTCAGACTCATAGGCCTGTTTGGGTTATCTGATCAATACTATGAGTGAACGCTAAGAGAACAATCACAGAAGCAGAACTATTCACTACTGATCCCATACCTTCAACTCTAATCATTTGATGTAGTACCAAAGGTTATGTTGAGTGGTTGGTTTAATCGCCCCTCCTGCTTCACTTACTATCGATGCCAACGACAATGGTACGAATAGTGAAGGAGTGTCTGTTTACTAAACCGGATTCACTATTAATAAACTATTGCAATCTTTTTGCACAGGTAATTCATGTTCGTCTTTGTCTGCATTCTCTTACAGCTTCTAGTTCATCTTGTTTTCTACGCTGTTAACCAATCCAATCCAGATGGTTTTTGTTTCTAGAACATTTTCCGGTTCTTTATGTGCTATTGGAAACCTTTCACCAAAGGTGTCACATTCTTACCAGTACCTTACATTGCTATTTCTGTTTGTCACTACATTTATTTTCCTTTCCACCACTCATATTCACTTCAAATATTTTCTACTTTACATGATTCTTAGCTCTGAGAGCCGTTGTTGATTCTGTTTACCTTGGTAGCTTTCGAATTCCTTGTAGGCATAGTTAGCATAACATAGATACGTATGTGGCGCCAAATGCGAAATTGTATTTTGTTTTACTTTGACATTTAACATACTATAGATTCGTGATAATCGGACTGAAACGAAATTAGGTTCATGTAACATCCCATTGAAGATATTATTCACACAGAAAAGCATGTCTGTTAACCAACCATTCACCTTGGAAGATACAGGTCGAGAAACTTCAACTATTTATCTGCATTTACAATTATTGGTAAGTTGAAAAACTTTTCCTGTAAAAATTCTATCTTTAAAGATTTTATTATCAAAATTTTGGAATCTACAGTACAGCAAATGTGATTTGAATAACCACTGAAATCTGTTCTTACACATTTCAACCTCATTTACTCTGATTTCCACAACCTTCCAGATCCAACTGTTAACAAGGTGCAAGCATCATTTTATTCACTAGTTGTCTTGTATGGAAGTGATTAAACAGTACTGGAAAATTGTAACCCTATTTTTACCCGACCTGGAGTCATTTGTCGTCAACGCATCAGTTGAGAGCTGAATCGAAGTTACTACATGAAATTATTAATACGTAATCTCCTAATTTAGGCATTGTTGTGAACACTTACACTGTAGTTACATAGAGTTTTTCAGTCGTCACTTTAATCAGATAATTTAGTAACTTTCATTGCACTACGAGTGTGAATAGCATCTTCATGAAAAGCTTTGTTGTAAGTAATGAAACTCTGTGTAAATGGTTTGTCTCAGTTTTATTTTTGTATTTCTCAGATGGTGGTCTTTAACGGTTTAGTAATGTAACCCAATCGAACACAGGTTTATGTACTAGGTTATCAGTCGCACTAGTTTTGTGAGACCTTATGATGGACCGCAGTTACTCAGTGTTGAGTAGACAGTGCGGTGTTTGAACTCCGAAACCATTGCTTGAAAGTTGAATGCTTCAGTCAACAAGCCACATCGTTGGTTATCTTTAGAGAGCTTACGATCGTAAAATTGAGAAGTGACTAAATTACATTCTTCAACCATGACAGTAATGGTAGGGATAAAGGAATAAGTACAATTTAGCAACCCCGTTGTCCTAACTGTAAATCATGCATGTTGAATAAGGTTTAATGGCACTATCTACCTGCCCGAACGAATTGATTTCCTTTCAACTCCTCCAAGTCGAATATGTGGTTGTAATTGTCACGGTGTATTGAGATGTCATTATCATGACGTTTGTTAGCCAGTTAGTGTTCAGCCAGGTCTACCTAACTATCGTAGTTATTACAATTGACTTTGGAGGTAACATTAGTCATTTCTTCTTTGTTGACTGGATCTTTTAATTTACACAGGATATATTGTAGCGGCTTTGTTGGTTTATATGACATTGTAACTCCAGGCAAGTTGAGCAATTTGGTCGTTGCTCAGCAAATTAGTCCTTAGACGAAATCAAAGATCTGAAATAATGTGAGTACAAAACAATGATTTCTTTCGATCCGTAAGCTCTTTTTACATAAGTAGGTCATAAGCTTGCAAGGGAAAATATTCTAAGCGTTCTCCAGAGTGACGATAATCTACAAGTTTATGCAAGTATAAAAATGCCAGAAATAATGGATGTGATAGACATTTCGTTATTCTTGCACTTTCATTTTAGTGGAGAGATATATAAATAAATGATAGGAACTGCAATAAGATCACCAATCTCAGGGATCATCGCAGAAGCAGTCATGCTATGGCTGAAGCTTATAATCTTGCCAATCCTATGTCGCACAAGAAAAGTTGTGTCACAACTTTATTTAGGCGAGTGAAAACACTGCAGTACAGCTGAACCAAATAGATCTGAGAAAACATATTCGTTCAAAATCTCCAAACTAGAATGCTATTCAAGAAGTCATCAAAAAATATCTTTCCGAGCGAACAAAATCGAAATCTACTGGAAAAATTAACACAAAAATCGTATTCCCATCCGTCATGAATATCTTGGAAACGTAGGCTAGATTGTTGCGTCGACTGAGAACGTTAGTGTCACAAGCTAACAAACCGCTATAATGTATGCTGTGTAAGATGACCAGTCAATTAAGAAGAAATGGCCAAGGTTATCTCCGAAGTCATTTGCAATCATTGCGAACACCACTACTTTAGAAAGTCAGGTAGTTCAGTAATACAACGCCTGTATGAACACAAACTGACTGTCAAACGTCATGATACGAATGAAGCTTGCGACCTGAATACACTGTGCCAACCACAGCCATAAATTTGACCGTGACCACTTCAAATACTTAAATGTAAGAACTGGAAGGTGATCCTAGAATTCTCGAAGGCCTGGAACTGAAACATATTAACAATGAATCGCCTTTCCAAAACGCATCAACTAGTCCAGATGCCGGGATATTGTCGATGCAACCAAGAGGGAGATCTTCAAGATAACCAGCGTATAACCAAACAAACTCTTGTATGTATTCATCCATTGCTACGCAGTTCGACTTATCTAGTAAAAGCTAACCAGTCGACGGCAGCAAAGAGAAACATCTTAGGTTGAAGCACATCGAACGCAGTGTTGATGGTGTCTGGTATGATATTGCAAAGTGTTGTAACTGAACCCCTAATTGTGAAGATAATTGTAGGTTTCTTATAACTTTGCAGTGAATATATTAGTTCGATGTCTTCTGGCATCAGTGAAGACGTATTACATCCATTACATCCATTTTAGTAGCAAATTAGAAACAAGTCATTATGTAGTGAGCGTTGCTGATAACAACGGATATAAGTAGTATATATGTAGAGGGTGGCAGGAATCATAGGGAATTACCGGCAATGGGTAAGGTTTCTGCCAAGAGCAACGCAGGGGACAACACAGGCGTATTACAGGGTATGCTATCTCTTTCTGAAGGTTGTTGATTTGTTCTTGCCAGTTATTTACCTCTAGTGACTCGACTACCGCTACTCCTGTACCCATTAGCTGTCTGGTCACCTTGGCCATTTCGCTAATGTCCTGTCCATGGGCTGGGCTGCATTGACTACTTGTAACTGGTGGGCAATGGCATTCGGGACACTCTTAGGCAGCGATGCCAATTGTAGAAACAGAAGACAGCTCGATGAGGGAATGCTTCACACGAACAATTGGAATGGTAGTGGTTACATATGGCACTCCCTGCACTAACGCAGCCATTTGCAAATGTCTTCGTTTCCTCTCAGTTCCTGTTTTGATTTGCTCTTGACCGGCTCTTCATACGATCTCATCAGTAGCATCCCCTGTAATACGCTTGTGTTGTCCCCTGCGTTGCTCTTGGCAGAAACCTTACCCATTGCCGGTAATTCCCTGTGATTCCTGCCACCCCCTCCATATATACTACTTATATCCGTTGTTATCAGCAACGCCCACTACAATTACTATTCCACAAGTAATCTTTCATTTGACTTGCTAAAGTAGCAGTTACTTAAGGAAGTATACAGGAATTGTAAGTAATTTGGTGAATCTTTCTGATTGTGTTTAATGATCACATCTTTTTAGAAATCCACTGAAATTCACTTTTATGTGAAGTTTGTTTTTTAATGTGCTGTTGGATCTTCAAAGATTTCTTGAATGTAAACTATGATTGCATTAAACTACAAGTGATATTCTCGACAAATGTAGTAGGGAGTAGTTTTTTAAGTCTATTAGAGGAACGTGCTCCTTCTAGGGGTTAATAAGGTTGTAAACCTGTGTCATCTGAAGTGTCTTAGGTATATGTTGCGCTTGCCGAGTCACCGCCTACCTCGACGTGCTATGCTAGGGGAAGTTGGGTTACGTTGGAAAAGAGTTCAGAGTGGCTAGACCAAGACGTGGAACCAGTCGATGGAGCCTCTTACTATTGGTCTGAGCCGTGTCGGGAAATGCAGACTACCTGGCTGGGGTCTCCGAGACAATAGAAACCAGTGGTTAAGATCTCCTGGTGATATATGTATAAATCCATCATAATGGTGCTGATGTATTCTCTTTCTGACGTCTTCTAAATCTTGAATATTTGCACTAATTGCTTATTGTCTCCCACAACTTTGTCTACTTTGATATCACTTTTTCTATCCTCCTGTTCTTTGTATACTTCTTTGAAGTGTAGCAGCTTGAGCCTATGCACTTGTGTGCGAAGTTCTACGTTGATTTTGTCTCTATTTGGATCTAGGTTTCTCACCTAATGGCACTTTACTAGGTGTGTCTACAACCTCAGCAAAAAACCATGCAAAATGCATCGCAGTTTAGTCTCGCATAGCGCACTGGTCACATTCCATCTCTATCTGTAAAGAATAAGTTTCGCTTTCTTCATAATAAAGTTACTTCTCAAAACGTGAAGAGTCACCTTTTTCTTTGTGGTTTGCAGTCTGTCTTTTAACCATTATGTGAATCGAGTGAACCCATCACCTATTCCTATACTACGAAATTATGGGTACTATTGTTTTAAGGAGGGAAACAGAGTTTATCTCAAGTTCTTTGTAGAGTGGTGGCTATCATGATAACCGGTAAACTTTACTATACCGTTCTCTATAAAGAGGTATGCTATTTCTTTGGAGCCAATAAATGGTTGAGTAACTGATCTCTCAAGTGAGTTAACTTCATTATCATCTTTTCTCAACTGCAAATATTTTGACTCGTAGTCATATGACTGATAAATTAAATACATGACATGAGTTCAAATTGTGATAAACTTCAAAACATCTAAGTAATACTCATGTTATAAAGGTTTCTTATGTTCACTTGTTTGTTCAAAGGTAAACAGTTTCAGCAAAGAGGCCATCAGAATTTTTCTTTCCGATTATTTAAGTGTACACGAAACATTTTCCTATTGTTGTTCAGCTTCCCATGGATCTCTGACTTATATCTGTCTGAGATGATAACTGCCTTTAGGTCAACAATTTCCCAATGAAAAACCCAGCTGCCAACCAGGTCACTGGAAATTTTTAAGCTGTTTTATTTTTATGTATATTAGGAGATATTAGTAAAACTAGGAAATGCCTTCTTTTCTTATTTACAGGCTTTGCTTCCTGGACAACGTAAAAATGCGAACAACTTTACTAATACAGATATGAAAAATAATTTGTGTCCTGACCAAAAACCTCCTCTTGTTACTACTACCACTCCTACCAACTCAATCGACAAGCCTAATGAAATACCAGCAGAAAATCCAGAAATGGTTGTCAGACAACGATATTCCGAGGATAATGTAAGAAATGTAGTTTCTGATAGCATAGTACATGCATGCAGAAATTATTTTCAAAGTTTACTTCCGTTCTTGAGTAATTTCGAAATGAAGAATTCACATTTACCGAGGAACTACTCCTTCCTATCCAATATCTTGCTGAATAGCAACTTGTAGTGTGGATTTATCGAATATATTCAGTTAACCTGGATTATCATTAGTTACTCTGTTGTTGTTTTCTCGATGAGAAACTTCCTGATATCGTTATATTTCTCTTCATTCACCGAATTGGATATTCTGTTCATATGTATAGAATGAGTGAGGTACTTTTCAAATGTCTTTGAGTAAGCTGTGGAAGACAGCTAATTATCCTACATTGAAGTTATTCATAGCAGCTCTAGATATAGAAATTGTCTTTCACATCATTTTATTGGAATAGCGACTAGCATTGACATAAAAAGCATCGATTATGGATATGATTGAATCTTACCACAAAGTTTTTATCAATGTTTAAATGATGATGAAACCACTTAAAATATGAAAATGAATCAAAGAGCATCTTCTAATCATAAGCAATCATGAGTCAGCTGTAGTATTCCATGTACTATTTGATCTGAGTTCACTGAACAAAGAGAAAGTATAACTCTGTCTGTCTAAGCAAGCTTCTACTACTTTTCAGTTAGAACTCATTCTGTCTTCAAAAAATACGCATACGTATGAATAAAATAAATCACTGAGACTGCATATCTTATGTTCAATCACATCCCCTTGTATACACGTAATACGTAAAAATCTGATTTCACATTTTAAATTATCAGCTGATAATTGATAACATTATTAGGTTTTGATTTCATCAATCCATTGAACATGTAGTCCACTTTATTTGTTGTACTGTTTAAACGTCTGGTTGCACAACGTTTGCACCCTGAAGTATTAGTTCCTAGTAGCTCACAAAGCTATCGATCTCAAATAAACCTAAATCACTTAAAGAAATGTCGAAAGCTGACAACATGTGGTATAATGTAAAATTAATTAAGTTATTCTTTTAGTTTACTCAGGGAAGAGTAACCCTAATAGTCGACTACCTTCGTATATCTCTCCGCTCTCAAGCTTCCTGAGATCACTGTTCCCCTTCTGCATCCTTAAATCGCAATCATTCCTTACATCTCTCTATGAACATTCCTACTCTATTCCGTTTCTCATAGTCCTGAAGCTCTTGGAAACGGCATGAGTTCACGGAATAGATCCCTTTATTGTCTTAAACTGAACTCCGAAACATACATTCCATCTTTTGATAATCCCTTCACTCCTCAAACCAAGCAATAACCTTCGCTCGCTAAGAATGACTAAATCCACTTCCTCCTCACCAACAAGTGGATGACATGATTAATCAGGCGACTGAAGAGCTAATATTGTTTGTTATCTCCTGAGAACTATGCAGCCAAACGACGGGATTATTTCGAATACACCAGTCACTGTAAAGGCTAAATGCATTCATGCATAAAAATCTAGTACAGGTCTCGATGTTTAACTATCAATAGGATACAAGTGTTTGTGTGTGTATGTGGGTGTGATAAATGTCAGTGTCAGTAGTACACGGATTAAACATTGTTAGCCTGACCTCCGTATTTGATACGAGACGGTTACCATCCAATCATCTTATGACCGTAATAACTGTTTGTTTGAAGCAACTACAGATTCTAATCTTCGACTGAAATTGCTTCGAATATCCTTCCTGTATATCTTATCTACCTCAGATGTCTTACATTAGGCGATATTCATCTACGTTTCTGTGTAATCAGTTAGTCGTTGTGTCTGTAGCTGTTAGTTTGAATTTTCAGCCAAGACTTTATTCTTTCTATCTACAAGTACAGGCTTTGGCCACTGTTGTACATTGCATTCATGTTTCAGTTTCCTGATCAGAAATATGATGTACCTAGATACGATTATTGCCAGTAATGTTTGTCCGAAATACTATCCGGTAAACAGGACTGTAAATTGAGTGGTCACCGGAGAGTAAACCAATTTCATGTTTACTAGTCTTGAGTGTAGACCGAAGTGTATCAATACATTCGCAATGTGATCCTAAAGCTTAGAGACTCACCATCTCAGTGCACTTGATAGAAGTACTAGGTTTTGCCAGTATTCAGGAAGAGAGAACACACATTTAGTTACTCTCCAGTGGCTAATCAAAGTATGTACTCCGGTCATGTAGGAAACCGATTTCGGGGTAAATAGCTCAGTGGTAACGTATCTGACTACGACACTACGTTACGTGAGTTTGAGTCAATGAGACGAGTGGGTCTGGGGGAGGGGAGAATCGTTAGTTCCCTTGTGGCCGTGAATGGGCCTGACTGACAGCAGTCTAAATGCCTGAATCCCAAGGGGATCAGGACTTTCTGCTGACTACCTACAAACAACAAACAAAACTATTTAACTATGTGGTATATTCCGTGATCTAATTGTGCTGTTCCTCACCTCTAATATTAAGGTCGACAGTTTGTGTAATGTGAACCTCCATTCTAATAATTTAGGTCATCAAGCGTGTTAGGAGATTTTCTTCTCCGGTTCATTGACAGTTGATTACAGCGTTTGTGGTGTTACACACAGGCGGACAATATCGAGAGATGACGAGGCATCAGTGTCTAATGGCCTGAGTTGCCACACCTGATATTAACTCATCAGGTGAGAAAGCACAATTACTCAGGATGAAGAAATAGAGGAGGGAGCAGTCAAAGTGGAAGAAAGTCGTGATAAGATGGCAAGGGGAGATAAGAAAATAATGTATTTAGTATGCTGATTGAGGTGAATGTAAGGTGTGGATACATTTGCAGCAATGAGATCCATTTTGAGCCATCTCACCTAGGGTCTTGAACCACTGGTTTCTGTTTCCCGGTGGAACCCAACCAAGAGGTATAATTTTCTCCACACGGCTCACCACTAACAGTCAAAGACTTCATGGAATGAAGGCACGTTTTGGTCTGGTCTTCCTTTGTTCTTTGCCCCCTTAGATCTACTTCAGCCAACATTGTGTGACAAGACACGGTGACTGGACACATACATATACGCAACACATGTCTGAACAGCGTGAACTCATTACGGCTCACTTTAGTCTCCTCCTCACTGAAACTTTGCGCCTGACATCTGCATTACTCACATAGTGACACCACGATACAGCCTATGCTACGTAGGTAACGCTGGTCAAATAGCTAATTTATCTGAAGTTCTGATGACGACTGCCGTGTCGTGGCGTGCAACACTATTTTTGCTTACTGAAGATGAAATGAGGAGGGGTATTCAGTAAGAGTTCAACTGTCTTATGGATCGCTGGGGTGGGGCCTTTCACATCTTGCTGTTCACAGACGAAATGGATTATATTTTTGACTGTAGAGACATGCCTCATACTCAGAGAAAATAGATGACATTACTACTGTAGATCTGGTCTTTTTGAAGTACTTTTTTGTAAGAAATTGTTGTTGTGGATAGGTAACGTCAAATATTTCATTCACTTCCCAATCTAGATTTTCTACATTATAGTCCACTTTCCTACCGTATTCTGGACTCATACATTTGCATCATTGCATTCACTGTTGATGGGATTTTACGGTGTAACTGCATTCAGGGATTTTTTCTAAAGAATAACTCCCTGGCCAAGGATTGTTGATTTTTTTTATTCAGAAATGAAGTTGGTTCTCTCACCTCATTTTATTTACTTGTTGTAATTTTATTTGATTACTGACTAGTTTTAATAGAATTGGAATTGTTTAGCAGTGTTCTCAAAACTTTGGGTAAATATTCCAGGTTTAATTAATTTTGATATGGTGAATAAAGTATTATAATTGATAATATTTATGCTAACAAGAATTCGAGCATGTTCAGCCTCTACGCTCCAGTGGTGTACGAATCATCTTTTGTTTGCACTCATAATTTATTATGTTTTTCCCTTGGGTTCCTAGTGGAACATAGAGCTTCAGTAGCACATCTCTATTGCACTCTCTTTTCTACAGTCTTTTGAACCTCGCTCCACGACTGCCCACAAGCTTTCATTTCTTCCTCACATGATCTCCTCCATGTCACCCTCGGACGTCCAACTCGTTGTTTCCCCTATGGATTTCACTCGACGGCCTGACCTGACGCGTGATGTCTCCAAATGGTTTTCTCAGTGTATGCCCAATCCATTCCACTTTCTTCTTCATATTTGTTGGCCGAGAGGTTCTTAGTTGGTTCGTTCCCAGAGTTACTTGTTATTTATTCTTTATGGCCATCTGATCCTCAGTATCGAGCATAGGCGGCAGCTGTTAATGTATGTCTGTAGTTTGTTGGAAGTGCTTTTCGTGACGCGCCAAGTTTCTGAACTATATAAAAGCACTGACTCGACTACCGTTAGTGTTGAAAGTCTGCATCTTGTTCTTTATGCTGCGTGAAACAGATCTTCACACTGATTTCAAGTTGATGAAGGCCTGTCTTGCTATCTTTCAGATCCTGGCTTTGACATCCTCATCTATACCGCCTACAGTTGAAACAATGCTGCCTAGGTAGATGAAAAGGACTACTTCCTTTAGGTTTATCCCGTTAATGGTGATTGGTGCTTGTTGTTGATGTTGTTATTGGTTGAATATCTTCATCACCTTCGTCTTCTCTACATTCACTTGAAGTCTCGTTTTTGCTGCCTCTTCTGTCAACTTATTAGTTTTTGCCTGTAGATCTTCGAGCTTATGCGACATTAGACATAGATCATCATTGGTAAAATTTAAATCTTCTGGGTTCTTTTATCGGTCCAGCCAGCGTATGCCCATCTTCTTGCTCCTCACGGTTTGCTGCATGATCCAGTCGAGTCGACCACAATCAGGAATATCATGGATGATAGTAGACAGCCTTGTTTCACTCCTGTCTTCACTTCAAAAGCATCACTGAGCATTCTATTGTGAATCCCATGGCATGTGGCGTCTTCATATAGTTGTTGAATAAGGCTGATGAACGTTCGTGGCACTCTGTATTGTTGAAGCAAGAGCCAAAATACATCTCGGTCGATGCTATTGAAGACCTTTTCAAAGTCGATGAAGTTGAGGTTAGATAGAGAGTTGACTGTCATTCTATACTCTGTTCTATGATAATGTGTAGCGAAGCGTTGCAGTTTGGTCCGCACGTGATTTGTTCTTCCTGAATCCAGCCACCCAGCCAGCATGTTCCGGTCGTAATTTTGAATCCAGAGCATCCTTTAGCCTCTCCAGGATGATGCGGCTTAATATTTTGCTTGCTTTGGGTGGACAGGAGCATGATTCTGCGCCAGTCCTTGCAAAGATTTAGGTCGTTCTCCTTTGAGAGTTTGACAAGGTAGCCCTTCTTCCACTCTGCAGGTACCATTCCTTCCTTCCAAATCTCCTGCAGTAATGGTATCAGCATGTCCGCTGTTGTCTCTGCGTGTGTTTTCAGTGTTTCTGGCTGAGCTCCATCTGGTCCTGCTGCTTCCCCGTATTTCAGCAACCTTATGGCGTTCAGGATTTCTGCTTTTGTCGGAGGGCTTGTGTTCGCTTGTAGTTCTGTGGCTGGGCTGCTGGTGGTATTTCTGGATGAGTTAAGGTGATGGTGGTGGTCGATTTAAGCGCTTTTTGAAGTGGTCGGTTCACCATTTCCTTTGTTTCTCCATTTTGGTAAGTAGCTTTCCTTCACTATCTTTCATTGGTTTCATCTGAGTTAATCTCTTCCCGAATATTAACTTGGTTATTTGATACAATGTTGTCAGGTCTCTCCTACCAGCAGCTTGTTCTGTTTCACTTGCCAGTGTGTCGTAGAAGTGTCTTTTGTCTTTGCACGCACTCTTCTTCACTTCTCTGTCCAGCGTAGTGTTTTATAGGTTGTGTTCAGTTCCTCATTTCATTGTTCATTTCTGCACTGCGCTGCCCCATCTCCTGCACCATCTGCCGCTTCTTCCTCCATCAGCTTCCATTTGTCCGGCGAGATCCATTCATTGTCTTGCTTCCTCTTCCTTTCTAATACGGTTATGCAGATTTCCTCCCACGTCTCTTCCAGAGAGTTCCAGTGTTCTTCCACACAGGTTTCCTCAGTGATGTTGCTCAATGTCTCCCATTTTTTCCCAATGACTGAAGACGTGAATATGTTGCTTGTAGTTTTGTTTTCCGTCTCTGTTCTGGGTGTTGAACTTGAACTGTGGTCTATCACCGACTTCTTTTAAGGCTTTCAACCTGATTTCGAAGTTAAGTTCCTTGCTATGGATAGTGCATGGTTTGAACCTGTATATACTCCCCCTCTTGATCTTGTGTCAAGTAGGCTGCGTCTCCACTTTCTTTACATTGAGATGAAGTCGATTTGATTTTTAGCGTAGTGTGTCCTTCTGGTGAAGTCCATGTCGCTTTGTGGATATCCTTGTGCTTGAACACCGTGCCTCCAATCACCAAATCATTGAATGCGCTGAAGTCTGCAAACAGTCGTCCATTCTCATCCATTTCACCGAGTACCTCTCGACTCATAATGAGGAGACTGGTTTCCACTGTATAAGAGCCTTCGATGGTCTTAGAGACATCATGATAACTACTCCATAACTCCGTGTGATCGTGGTGACCGGAGTAGATTATTGTCTCTCCAGTTAAGAGTTTGTAGAGTCCACTTCCATTCCATCTGCTTTCGCAGATTCCAACCACTTCTGTGCCGTACTTCCTCATCTCTTTTGCAATCTGAGCAACCTACATTGTGTGGACATTCCATGTCCCCACCCTCACTTTCGCTTTTATCAAAAGAAGATACATCGGCCGACGGGCTTTCCGAACGCTTTCACCAACCGGCGTCATTTTGTCCCTGTGATTCCAGCGAGGAATAAGTTTGTTTTTATTTTTTATATTTTCTTTGTGCTTTGGAAGTTCTTTAGCGATTGAATTGGCTTTCTGGGGTAGGGTTGCTCACCCTTTGTCCAATCTTTCCTCTTTATCCAAGCTTAGGACCGGCTAGTAACTAGTGAACTAGTTAACCAGGCTAGGTTTCTCCTAATATAATAGCATTGATCAATTTGTACATATGTTCGTCTTCAGCAGTTGTCCTGCAGATTAATGTACCTTTTGGTTTTGTTTTAGGATATGGTATCCTCAACTGAGTCTCTGTCAACCAACATTAGCGTACAACCAGTTAGACAGACAATGAATAGTAATGAGAACAATATACATCAAATAAGCAATTCGTCTTTGGGTCGGATACGCCTTACTATTCAGTATCATTCTGCTTCCAATTCTTTAGAAGTAACGGTACATGAAGCTCAGTAAGTGGTCTTTCTTTCATTCTTACAGCTGTAATTTGATTGTCTGTCATGGTAAAATCTCCTAAACCTTGATTATTTTGGAGTTGGTAACGACATCCTATGATTCTTCTGCTGTATGCTTTCCTTTGGCAGCTACGCAACTTGATGATCTGAAATGGTTCTGCTTCACTTCAGCCATTATACTTTGCGTCCGATTGCCATAGAAATCGAATGATTTCATCTTGTATCAGGAGTTCTGAAAATCTTCGAAGAGATGAAGACAATAAGTATATTTGGTATTACAGTTTAAATGAATGCATCTACGGCACTACGATCGGCACTTAACCTTTCCACCTAGAATCAGTAATGATTAATTTTATTATATCAGTCGAACTGCAACCTGGAAGCTGACATTCTTCGGCTGTTAGAGACTTCGTTGGTTGGCGTTGTCTTCATCTGTACATCACTGACATTTTTAAAGGCTAATCCTTCTCTAAGTGACATTGCATATTGTAGCAACTAGTGGCTTGACATGCTTTCCAAATGTTCTAGCAGCCTTAGTTAGTCGATAAAGTTTAACAACCTTGTCAGCTGACTTCTATGCCTAACCCCTACATTGCTCATAGGTAGGTGGTGCTGTGAAACTGGCGTTGGTCATCCAGTCACTTAGGATTAATAGAGTTAAGATGGGAAGGAAACATTCAAGAGGAATCCTTCATTGGCTTTTCTAATGGCGATTATAGTCGAGAGTACATAGGTATCTAGGGTGTTTCCAATATTATTAAGGATATCTATGGCTGATAAAATATGTGACCTAAGCGTGGCTATTAAGTTGTCAAACACAAGACTGTGGTGTATAGTAGGATTACTCATATAGTTGGAAGGAACATTGCAGATTTTGTGTGTATGTTGCTTTTTCAATCTGATGGATTCCGTCAGTGGTTACTTTTCTCTGTCATTTCACTTATAGGCAGTTAACTGGTGTGGATAAAGATGGACTGTCTGATCCGTACGTTAAACTCTATCTTCTGGATTTACATGGAAATGTAGTCAGTGATTCCAAAAAGACTAAAACACTGAAAGATAATTTAAATCCAGTATATGAAGAAAGGTAAGCTTACATTGATGAATTCGGCAACCTTTTTCGTAGTGTTTATTGTATCGAACCATACTTTAGTGATAACATTGAATGGTTGTCGGTCAGATTAAACTTGATAAGGCTATGCACGAATCACACTAACGTCAGTTAAGAAGAGTTTGCTGCAAAAAAATATCTCTTTCTCTAGTGCAAATCAGCAAGCGTGTACATGTTCGTGCACCCGGCAATGAAGCTCACTTAGGGTGCAAAGACTAGTGATATTTCCCTACTGTCTAAACTGTGGTAGATGGAATCGGGACTGAATCTGAAACCCCCTGGTTGAAAGTCGACTACCCAGGACCAAGAGCAATGAAACAAGCAGGTATATTTACCGCTGTTTCAGTATTGGGTGTGCAAACCACTTTGCCTAGGAAACCTGTCGTAATTCTTGGTGTTGGTTAATAGTGAGTGACAGTTTTATGAATCAGTCCTATTCTGTATGATGATCTGTATAACTCCAAGATACCATATTTTTAAGGTTTCCTGGATTCATTCACTCTTGGTGTATATTCTTTAACAAAAGATAATTCCATGACGAAAATTTTCTTTTTTACGTATTATTTTCAAAAGCTGTACAATCTGAACCATAAATACAGCAAAATTTATATCCATCAATAGATAATGGGTCAATATAAAGTTATCAGAAAAGCTCAACGAAATCACAAGCTAATAATGACTAGAAGGTCATCAAAAGTGGCTCATACGATTAGAAGAAATAACGAACAAAGAAATGAATAGAATGTCCTAGGAAGATTACGATCAAAGTAAAGTTAGAGATTTAATTTATTTATCTCTTTTGAACGCACAGATCACTAAAATTACTCTATCATATACACGAGTTCAGTTGTGGCGGTAAATATCTCAACAATACTGATACATCAACTCGTACTGACCAACTCAGTTACACTTGCCGATGTTTAGACAATCATCAATAGTCAGTAAATAAATATGACCCATTGCCTACTTCATGAATGTGAACTGGTTGGGATTCAAGTGCTTTACACTGATGACCTAATGAAATAACTCTTCATAGAAGGTGACTAGTTAGTTCATTTTACAACCTCCTTTATGAATTCGTATTGGGAAGGAGTCACATTAGCATAGAGTTAATCTATCTTTTCATAAAGGTAAATATCTGGTGTTTGAGCCAAAATCCAGATGATGTAGCGATGTTTTGTACGCTTAATACAGTAATCACTGGGTTCCATATATTTACATCTAAAAATCGAAATTCTCTCATCAGTAATAAGCCCAGTAGTTACAAATTATATTCGCATTTTTTCTAACTATATCGAAGAAATATTTTTAGACCAAACTGTTTTGTCTTGGATTTTAGTTTTCAATTCTCAATCGAAATGGATCACCTTCCCTTGACTGTCTTAAGACTAGATGTTAAAAATCATGTGGGTCGGTTTACACGTAGTGGGAAAACGCATTTTATGGGAACATTGTGTATAAATCTTATCGATTCTGTTGATGGAGGTGCTGAAACGAAATGGTAAGAGAAGTGCTTAAATTTTCTATGATCAGTTTTTTACCAACTAAGTAGTTTTGCTTGTATTGAATTTATAAAAACTTGGCTACTTTTTCACCGTTTTTTAAAAAGTTTACTTTATAAACCTACACATTGAAGTTCATGTCAGTGAGTACTAAAAATTCACGTGGTTTGTAATGATAATAATCGCTTTATTCCAAGCAATATGTATGACATAATTATTTATATGTCATACCGTCGTTGATTGGACCGAATTGATCGATCTCTATTGGCATACAGGCTCCTGTGCGGATGCCTTGATATTACCTGTGTTCTAATTACATTAATGATGTACTATTTAGTTGAGATGAAATTTCATAACCTTGTTGTTAAAATGTGTTTATTTTTCACTTCCCAGGTACAATTTGGCATCACCCAGTTTCCTCTCATAGTCATGAAATATGTCTCATTCATATTCTGATATCACCTAATATTTATCCATTCTCAATAATTAAAACAACCGGATATTTACTTTCATTATAAATTCAAATTTTGCGCCAATTCCTAATATCCCTAATAAACATTTTTTTCTTTGCAGTCTAGCCATTGTTGAAATGTTTAGATTTCATTTTTCGCTTTTCGTGTTTTATGTTCAATGCTAATAATCATGTCTACTCATATATTACATAATAGCAAGTATCTTTAAAGAGTTTTACAGTGTTTTGAGAATATCAAGCGTTAATCCATCGGAATCTCTCTGAATCTAGATTTTTTGTTTGTCTGTACTCATCTACAAACTTGAGGAGAGGGATTTTACCGTTGAAATCTTGACTTAATCAGTCAATGCTTTGCGAAGTTCGGGTCCATAGCTGTCTAGCCCTGCTGATTCATCTGCTCAATAATCCAAATACTGAGGCACACTTCACACCGTAAATTTTACTTATACTTCACACATTTTTCTACTGTATACAATCCGTTCTGCACCCAATGATATTTTATACTACCTTACAACATTCGAAGAATTCGGATAACTTTAACACTTCTCTCTGATAAACTTCCTATCGTTGTTGTGATGATTTACATGCTTAGTGGATTTCTAATCCACCTGGCAAGACACTAAGTGTGTACCTTCTCTTCAGTGAATCTCTCAACAAACGTGAATATTTCCACCATATATTGGTGATTATTAGGTGTCAATCTTCTCAGTAGGTCAATTGGCTCCTCTCAAATGACCGATCAGTTTATCTAATCCATTCCCGTAGGAGGTCATTCGCTTACATAATGCACCAGTGGTAACGTCTCTGGCTACAACACTGCCGGTATTAGTTCGAATCTTGCTGGTTTTCTCCAACCGACTGTCATAGCTCATTGAACAGCCAGTAAACTGAAGTCCCTAATTGGCATCTTCAGCACCATAAAACTCGAGTAAATTGATTGGTGAAACGGATATCCGAGTTATTTACTTGCATGAAACATTACAATTTTTCAACCACTAGTAACCGTTTACTCAACAATTATGTCGAATTTCAGTATAGTTTGTGTAAGCTGCTAAGAGAGACCCGATATTCTGTTATTCTCAATAAAGTAAACATTAGAAACCACTAATTACATAAGAGCGTCTGCAGTCATCATTCATCCCTTACTGATGTCGGCCTTTCATAAGTTGAAGTTTTGCATAAACAGGGGTATTATTTCAATTTATCAGACAATATAGAGGATGAAATTAGGAAGAGGTATTAGTGTAAAATCCTCAAATTTCGACAGCTATGATGTGTAAGTGATAGCTGCCGAAAAAAGAAAGATTACTAGCCACTACATTTCCACTTTCCAAGAAGTCAAAATATTAGGTATTCTTCGAAACGATCGTTGCAATGTAAATAATCTTTATAGTGTGTTGAACTGAAGTGTTTTAATATGGCTACCGCAATATGATGCATACTTTCACGTTGTTATAAATACTTTTGTCTTCCTCTGTTTAGTTGAATTTCTCGTTGCTTTTTATTTCCAATATTTATTATTATCATTATTTATTATTTATTTATTAAATAAATATTAACTATGTGTGTAAATGTCAGTCAGAATGAACATTTACCTTTCGAATTCACCTGGACTAATGTCAACACTGAAAATTTACTCTTCTTAAAAAAAAAACAAATTTTTATATGATCATTTCGAAACCTTCAGTCTAAACTCCAGCATAAACTTGTACCTTTTTTAAAACAGTGATTTCTAACACTAGACTACAGCCAGCGCAGTCAAGGAAGTAATACGGGCATGATAAATATCAAGTATCATTCCAATATTATTTTCTTGATCGCAATCTAACAAAATACTATAAGTCCGTAGAAAACAGATCAGCATTCTTTATCATTAGAGAATATGTTGGTTACATTTAGGCAGTAGATTTTAGTAGAATTCCTAACTCACATAAGCTCTTCACCCTCCAGCCAACAACAACGACAACAAATTGACTGACTGGTTAATTGTGTTGAACAGAATTACTCCACGTGAATATGTATGGTTATCAAGCATAGAGCAGCATCTTAAGGAATTCTACAGCAAATTGTAGATCCGATTGCATTTGCCATTTGCTAGCACTCAGATCCAGTCGAATATTGTTTTCTACTTGACATTCACCAGCATCCTAGTAAGTGGTGATATTGCCAATGCAATATGACACGACAAAGCAACACAGAACCTTGAAGAAACCTGCATCAGCTTAAACTGCTCCGTTTTGTAGCAGTACACAAAGAGGATTTGGAGAGACACACAGACAAAATCAACATAGAACGTCTCACAAAAGTGAATCGGTTCAAGTAACCACACTTCACAGCAGTATACAAAGAACAAGTGGATAGAAAAAATGATATCAAAGCAGATAGAGTTATAAGAGAGAATAGATAATCCAAGCTCTAGACGACGTCACAGAGTGAATACGTCTGAACTACTGTAACCAATTTTCAGTCACACCAAGAATTCTCAACCACTGGTTTATATAATCTAGAAGATTCTAGCCAGATAGTTTGCATATCCCCACGCAAATCAAACCAAAAATCAGTGACTTCGTGGACTGCTTCCACGTCTTGGTCTGGCCACCCTGAAACTTCTCCCATTGTAATCCAAAGTCCTCTAGCATGGTGCCTCGAGAGACACGGTGGCTCGATATGTGCAACACACTTCAAGGCCACCTCAGTTACCCAGGCTTCCCAATCTCATCGACTAACTTGGCTTCCTTACCAAGTATCCTTCACATAACCTTGACATGAGCAATGCTACAAAGACATCTATGGTCAAAAACTTGTAGTTTCTACTTTTAACGATCATGTTTTACAGCTATAAAATAGCACAGAGCAAGCTGCAGCACAGTTTACTCATTTGATTTCTTGCAGGCATTAGAGGTGACACGAACTGCCAAATGAAGAAATATCATACAAGTGGAAATGTACAATTGTTGAAAAGTAAGATTCAATGAGTTTTAAACAATATATGTACGGCTGTTTCATATCTACTACTTTATCAGCATCATTCGTACAGATAGGCTACTTTTAGTAAGGCCAAGACAGAACCGATGGTGCTAAATGTTAGGAATTTATCCACTAAGACAATGAATTAAGATATTTCTTCTTCAATGCATATCAACCATCCTTGTTGTTCATTTAAAGGAGTGAAATGTGATAAACGTCTGTTGGCATGTTTGAATGTCTCTATATTGTCTGTGATCAAGTCTTGATTTTACAAGACACTAGTGCCTAACACTGAAGACCCAATATACATGGTAAGCATTTCGAAAGTTGCTTTCTCTCTCCTAAATGGAATATGAATTTCGCTCTACAAAAATATCTATGCATTTCCAGACAAACGAAATCAACAAACATTATGCATGTGACTCAGTTACACTAGCCTGGAAAAAGGTGACCAATAAAAACGATAACTACAAAAGTACTGAAGGTGTTTCCTATAAAAATCAACTGGTGTTATCCAACGTAATATGCTGCACAAATACACACAGACAATAGAAGGAAAAATCTAGGTGACCAACTAGAAATGTAAATCATCACAAGTATACACTAAAAAAGGGATCAGTATAGCACCAGGAATATATGAATGCATGTCACACTCAAGTATCCGCTATTTATAAGGTATGTATAAAGTAGGCTTCTAGGCATCAAAATAACACCCAGGGTCAATAAAAACCCTCAGTAAGCACTCATTCGACGTTCGAGTATGCTACACATCTGTATGACTGACTAACAAAATCAACATAGAACTTCATGCACAGGTGCATTGATTCAAGTTACCACACTTCACAATAGTACACAAAGAGCAGTGGATAGAATAAGAGTGATATCAAAGAAGATAAAGTACTGTGGGAGAATAAGCAAACTGAATGTAGGGGCTATTGTGAATATTCAAGCTTAGATGTCAAGAAGTGAATAAAACAGCGCCACTGTGACTGACTTCTAACCACGTCATCAAGACTCTCCAACCACTGATTCCTGTCGTCTCGGGGACCCAAACCATACAGTCTACATCTCCACACACAGCTCAGACCAACAGTCAGAGACCTCATCGACTAGTGACTGGTCTTAGTCTGGCCACCCTGAACTCTCTTCCAACTTAATCCAACTTTCTCTAGCCCAGCAACTCGAGGTGGGTAGTGACTTTGCATGGGCAGCACACGCCCAAGCCACTTCAGTCGATCAAGCTTCACAGCTTCATCGCCTGACCTCGATACTGCTCACACGGTGATTCCACAAAACGCCAGCAATCCTGCGAAGACATCCGTAATCAAAACCTTATAACCGCTTCATGCCTTCTATTTTTAACAGCAGTATCTCAGCTGTATAACAAGACAGAAGCAACCGCAGCGTAACATAATCAATCTTTGATAGGTAGTTGGATATTTCGCCGGCACCACAGATGATGCAACGTAGCAAATACCGAACGGGTCTTCTGTATCCCAGATGAGATTTCCTCAGCGCATTTCAACACTTCACTCACTAGGAGTATATAACTATTCGTTGATATACTTGTAATTCTCCGCTGTTATACTTGTTCGACGTCTGTTCGTTGGTATATGGGCTCCTTAGCGGATGCTTCAATATTACCTGTATGTTTATTATGGTAATTTACTTGGTTGTGACTAGCAGAGAAATCCAAGACGCGCGTCTCGTCTTATTTCGGTCTCTTCAGACTGGGAGCAGTTACAGATCAATCCTGAAGCAACATCTTACACTTGAAAGATGCAAAATGCATGCCATATATACTCAGACTTCTGCTCAACACGTTCAGAGTTCCTTGCATTTTGTCAGCAATCCCACACACTGCACTAAACACATTCGTAGCTAGATGTCACAGACACAATATGATTCTTCTATTTCGGTTTAACAGAAGGTCAATAAGCAGATACAACGATGAACGTCAAAACGTTTCAAAGATGATAAGCTAACTCAACCAGTCATTATCAATCATCAAGAGACCTGACATTTGTATGTAACGGTTCAAGTGCATGATACCTTACATCAAAATGTCAAGGTACAAGCCAAAATGATTTCCAAAATGACAGAATCGAGGTAGTATCATCAAAAGTCGTAAAATATTTTAATAACGAACTGCGATATAATGTTTGATAAAAGTATACATGGTAAAGATTCATCTGTTTAACCACGCTGGTGTTAAACATCAGATAGTGTCTCGTACATGCATACCTAACAAAATTCCATAAGGAATGTTACTTCCCATTGGGAAGTCAGGTTAACCTGCACTTAAACTAACAATCGAACCAGTGATTAGACGCCAACTGATCTCAAACCATTGGTATTAATCTGAAAAGTACGTTTCTGTCACGTCTTCAGAGAACAAATAGGTGTTTGATTTCACTACTTGTATTGTCTTCAAACAACTGATTAGCTTAGGCACTCATTCATTTTAATGACCACATTTTGTTGGTAATAATTAACTAATTCTATTTATCAATTTCAACATCAACTCATCTCCACCCTATAACAAACTGTTGATGTTTGATACTTATAATTCCCCGCTGCTATACAGAGTCGAATTGCCCGACCTCTGCTCGTAGATAGCCTTGATGCACAAGAGGCAGCTATTATGCTCCAGTGGCCTAGTGGATAGTGCTTTGGCGTTTGAAGCGACGGGCACTGGGCTCGAGTCCCAGTGGGAACAGCATCACTCACTGGGGTGCATGTACACCCAGCTGACAAGTGCTGAATACGAAGAAATGCGCATCCTGTATTACACTGAGAGTCACTGAGATAAATACAACTATAACAAATTGTTGAAATACTGCACATTTAAACTACATAACAAAGAAGTTTCGTAGAATATCTCCGACCCGACCAGCACAAACTTCAGACGTAAAGAAAAACATTGTCTGACGTGGTATCCACCGAGCTCAACTCAGCCATCCACACAGATAGACGATATTGCCATCAGTCATCTCTGAAGAGGGTCGGTGGAAAACTGACGCTCCTTCTGGAGCATATGTTCGGATAGCAACCACACGTTGTTTCGAGCACGTATATGTCTGCATCAGAATGCAAGTAAAAGTTTTAACAACTACACGAGTGTAGCTTGACATTGAGAACACTAAGACCGTTATCAGTGAGAAAATGGCTAAGCAGTTACAGGAACAGAACACTATCACTCACCCAAAGGAAGCTTGAAGCCGTCTCCAGTCTGCTGTGAAAACAGCTTTGAATACCGTAGCTTCTCAAAGACTAGTCAAAAGAGCCAGTGAATATCAGTAGCCTTCTCTGAATCAATGGATTCACACGAATGCATCCCTGCAGGCTCTAAGTACAATGAGGGTTGAACGCGACTCTGATAAACAACTCTGACTGACACAACGTTTACGCAATGACTGCGAACAGTGGTGGGCAGCGAAGGCTAGAGATGGATAAGATAGTGACGACAGGCTACAGTAGACAATTATTTAGACTGATTAAGGTAACTGAGGCGAAAACGTCAAAGGTTAGCGAGACTGCAGCGGAGAAGGATAGGTCTGCGATTTAATCGCACAGATGACTGGAACGATGAGCAGAACACTTCGAGTGACAGTTTA